TGGATATGGGGAAACACACACTGCTGACATAAAACGCAACTTACTATGTGGGTGGGTGGTGCGTGGTGGGGGGCGACAAAGTCTATTGTTGTAATGTGTGTTTAGTTGTTTGGGCTATTTCCTGTGTTTTTGTTTGTGTTCCAGCTCTGGCGTTTTGATGCTTTTGGATTGTTTGGTGTTTCCCTGTGTCATTGTTTTGTTGTTCGGCTCCTCCCTCCCCCTTGGGAGCGAACTGCGGAGGGGAGGAGCAGGAGGGGGCGGCAGGGGACGCCGCGGTGGCGGCGGCGGAGAGGAGGCAGGAGGAGGTGGAAGCGGAGGTGGAGGCGGTGTTGGGGGGGTTCGGCCTTTTGGAAAGGAAGATCTCATGAGGCTGGGCTCTTTTGGAATCCTTTGCAAAAGAGTTCCTAGTGGATCCCTCGACAGGAGGATTCCTCTTGAAATCGTCTGCAGAAGGATTCGCGTTGAAATCACCAACATCAGAATTCCTGTTGCAATCCTCAGCAGAAGGGTTCAGATTGAAACCCTCTACAGACGGATTTCGATTGAAATTCTCGACATAAGGATTTCTAGTGAACTCCTCCATAGAAGGATTCCTATTGAAATCCCCGACAGAAGGATTACTATGGAAATCCTCCACAGAAGGATTCCTATTGGAATCCTCCACGCATGGTGTCTATCGAAATCCTCCACAGGGCTTGAAACCCTCCACCGCACGTTTTCTATCGAAATCATCAACACAATGATTCCCAATTGGAGTCATATACAGAAGGGTTCCGAGTAAAACCTCCACAGCAGGATTCCTATTGATAGACTCTACAGAAGGCTTCCTCTTGAAATCCTCTACAGAGGGAGTCCTACTAAAACCCTCCACCGGAGGATTCCTTTTGTAATCCTCTGCACAAAGATTCCGATCGACTTCCGTTACACAAGGGTTCTTTTTTTAACTCTTCCGCCGAAGGGTTCCTAGTGAAATCCCCGGCAGAAGGATTCCTATCGAAGTCCTCAACAGAAGGGTTTTTAGTGTAATCTTCCACCGCAGGATTTCTATTGAAATCATCCACGGGAGCTTCAGCCCTCCACCGCAGGATTTCGATTGAAACCATGCTGTTCATAAGGATCCCCATTGAAATCAGACACAGAAGGGGTCCTAGTAAAACCCTCCACAGCGAGATTCCTACTGGTAGCCTCTACAGGAGGATTCCTTTTGAAACGCTTTACAGGAGGAGGCCTACTGCAATCCTCCACAGCAGGATTCCGATTGGAATCCTCTACAGAAGGATCCCAAACGAAACCCTGCACATAAGGATTCTTAGTGAACCCCCTCCACAGAAGGATTCCGATTGAAATCCCCGGCAGGAGGGTCCCTATTGAAATCCTCCACAGCAGGATTCCGATTGATAGCTTTACAGAAGGTTTCCGATTGAAACCCTCTACATAATGAGTCCTATTGAAACCCTCCACAGCAGGATTCCGATTGGAATCCTTCACATACGGATTCCGATCGAAATCCTTTACAGAAGGATTCCGAGTGATCTCTTCCACAGAAGGATTCTTATTCAATTCTTCCACAAGGATTTTTTGCTGTAATCCTCAACAGATGGATTCCCAGTAAAATCCTCAACGGAGGGGTTCCTATTGAAACCTTCTACAGACGGATGCCTATTGAAATCTTCGACAGATGGATTTCCAGTAAACTCCTCCACAGAAGGATTCCTCTTGAAATCTTCCACAGAAGGATTCCTATCAAATCCTCCACAGCAAGAGTCCTTTTGAAATCCTCAAAAGATGGATTCCCAACAAAATCCTCACCGGAAGGGTTCCTATTGAAATCCTCCAAAGAAGGATTCCTACTGAACCCTTTGAAGTCGTTTACGCTGTCGTTCGCGATGAGGCACTCTGTGACCACGGTTATAAGACACGAAAAATGCGGCCGACGCATCGTTGCCATGATTTTGCGAATTGACAGGGGGACGGGGATGACCGAGCCCCCAACTATTTATATATATATATATATATATGTATATATATATATATATATATATATATATACATCCATGCATATGTAAATGTGTGGATACACACATATATATATATGTATATGTATATGTACATGTATATGTATATGTGTGTGGTCCCATCCTCTTGTCATCATACATACTTCTCTCTCTCTCTCTGCTTCTCTGTTTTTCCTCGTGTTTCTCTCCCGTCTTTCTCCTCCCTCTCTCCTCCTCCTCCTCCGCCTCCTCCTCCTCCTCCTCCTCCTCCTCCTCTCCTCCTCCTGCCCCTCCCCGTCCCCCTCCTCCTCCTCCTGCTCCCCCTCCTCCTCCTCCTTTTTGTAGCACTGCAGAACCAATACCAGACAGTGCTTGGCGCCCTCAGTGCAACGAAGAACTGTGTATGTTTGTGTTGTTTGGGTTTGGGGGGTCTGGGATGCAAGGAGACATTGTGTAGTATTAGTTGTTGTGTTTTTTGTTTGCGTTGCAGGCCCCAATGATCGCCGAGGACCCCGTCCCAGCGTTCTCCGCGCCTCCCAAACCAAATACAACCAACACACCGCAGCAGTTGGCGCCCTTCGTGCAAGGAAACGCTGTTTCGTCTTGGGGGGTTAGGTTTGTCAAGCCACGAAGCACTGTGTGTTGTTTGTTGTTTGTTGCAAGCCCCAGTGCTCGCCGCGGCCTCCTTCGCAGCACTTCTCTCTGAGCCTGAAAAACAAAACAACACGCAACAGTTGGCGCCCTTGGTACAAGGAACGCTGTATTTTTGTTGTGTTGGTGTTGGGGGGGGTGTGAAGCCACGAAACAGTTTGTATGTTTGCGCGGTTTGTTTCTGTGGGATTTGCAGGCCCCAGTGCTCGCCGCGGCCTCCCTCGCAGCACTTCTCTCTGAGTCTACCAAACAAAACAAAACAACCTTGTATCCCAGACCAAATAACAAACAAACAACTACAAGCATGCATAGCGTTTTTCTGAACCCATTCAAGCAGAAACGAGAGACGAGGGAGGAAGGAGGAGGGATCCCACTGGATGCGCAGAAGATCTAAGTCGGGACTAAACGAGGAAAGGGGAGGAGGAAGAGGAGGAGGAGGAGGAGAGGTAGGAGAGACTCTATGGGATCTGAATCAGGCCCAAACGAGAATTCAAGTTGAAATACGGAGGAGGCGGCTGGGGAGGAGGAGGAGGAGGAGGAGGAGGAGGAGGGGGTGGAGGATGAGAAGGAGAAGGAGGTAAGCTATTGGATTTGAATCAGGTCCACGTAGTAGTGATGCTTCAAGCAGACAGGAGGGGACAATAAGGAGGGAGGAGGGACTCTATTGGATTCGAAGAAACCCACATTCTAGCTCAATATGGAGAGGACAAGGAGAAGGAATCTCAGCGGCAGGAGGAATAGGTTAAGATCTGAATGAGGCCCAAGTAAGGTTTCAATCGGAAAGAGGACGAGAAGAAGTGGAGGAGAGGGAGGAGGGGATTCTATTAGATTTGCATACGATCCAGTTACGGCGTCATTACGAAAGGAGGGAGAGGAGGAGAACGAGGCATGCGAAGTAGGGAGAAGTAGAGGGCAGGACGAGGGAAGGAGGGAAGTAGGGGCAGGAAAGGCGAAGGCAGAGGAGGAGGAGGAGAGATACATCAAACAGAAAGGAGAGGAGAAGGAGGAGTGAGGATGGCTTCGATCATATTTCAATTAGGGAAGGAGAGGACAAGGAGGAGGAAGATGAGGAGAGTGAGGAGCAATGATATTGGATCTGAGTGAGGCCCAAGTAGGGATTCAATAGGAAAGGAGGACGAGGAGAAGTGGAGGAGATGGAGGAGGGATTATATTGGATGTACATGCGATCCAGCTACGGCTTCAATACGACAGGAGGGCGAAGATGAGAACGAGGCATGCAATGGAATGTAGGAGGAGGAGGAGGAGGAGGAGGAGAGGTAGAGGACATCTATTGGATCGGAGCAGGGCCCAAAGAGGGACCCCATGGGAAAGGAAGAGGGGAGGAAACGCAGGACGACTTCCATTAGTTGTGACAAAAAATCGAATTCGGATCCAACAGGAAAGGATGAGGGTGAGGAGGAGGGGAAGGACGACGAGGACGAGGACGAGGAGGGGGAGGGGAATGAGGACGAGGACGAGGAGGGGGAGGGGAATGAGGAATGGGAGGGTGAGAATGGAGGCGACATGTATGATCACAGAGAAGGGGCGAGCATTCGATGTATGTATATACGTTGATCTCAACCCACATATATGTATACATATTTCGCCTGAGACACTGCCGCCAAAAATGTGCCCTCTGCCTAGTCGGTGCACCGCCTCTCCCCTGCCGAGGAGAAGTACGAGACGGAGGGCTCCCCGTACCACTCCACCGCGCGGCTCTGGGACGACGGTCCGCCTCCGCCGCAGCGCGCGGATTTCCCCAGCTGGGCGACGCAAAAAACAGGGTCGGTTTCACCGACATTGGCGCGTCAGTTTCCCGCTTAAGGTCGCGCGTGAGCGCCCTCGCTTCAAATGTGGCGTGCCGCGCTGGCGGCCCGCGTGAGCCGCCGCGTAGGGTCGGTACGTAGATCATCTCGCGCAAGACCCTTTTCGGATCGTCGCTCAAGTGTGTTGCATTGGTGCGCTGGGGCCCGAGACAGGAGCAGGAGGAGAAAGACGACGACGGCGACGACAAATGCGACGAGGAAGGAGAGGGAGACTCCCGAAGGGGGTCAGTGCTGCCCCCCCCCCTCCCCCCTCTGCCCCCTCTTCCCCCCTCTTCCCTCTTCCCCCTCTTCCCCCCTCTTCCCCCTCTTCCCTCCTTCCCTTCCCCCCTCCCCCCCTTCCCCCCACCATCCCCCCCTCTTCCCCCTCCCCCCTCTTCCCCCCTTTCCCCCCTCTTCCCCCCTTTCCCTCCCTTCCCCCTTCCCCCTCCCCCCCTCTTCCCCCCCTCCCTCCCCGCAGCACCCGCCCCGGGCTCGAGGGGCGGGCCCGCGCCGCTGCCAGGCGGCGCCCCGCCCCTCCGGCGCCGCCGCCATGGACGGCGCCGAGCGCGGCGACCGCGGCGCGGCCCTGGTGCCGGCGAGGTGCGGCGGGCGGCGGGCCCGCCTTCTTCGTTCGCACGCCTCCGGCGGCCTTGCGCCAGAGAGTGGCTCCTCGCCGGAGTGACCCGCGGTGGGGGCCCAAGGGGGTCCAAGCGACCCAGAGAGGATCGCAGCGTGAAAGGAGAGCTGGACGGCTGAACGGGAGGTGTTTGGCCGTCTTCGTTCTCCGGGAGCCCTCGCCGGGCCTCGGGACCGTCCAGAAAAACGACTGAGGATGAAAAGCGGGTCCGGGGGAGGAAAGGGTCGGGACTTCCAGGGACCCCGCATTGAAAAAGACAAGACGTCGCCGCATGTTTGGGTCTGGTGGGGGCCCAATCGGGGCTCAAGAGACGGGGGCCTACGCAGACGGGAGTCAATCGGAGCGTTGGATCTCGCAGGATCCTGCAGGGCCAGGGTCGCACTGACCCGGGCTTGGGTGCAGGATACTGCAGGATCCTGCAAGGCCTGATTGACCCGGGTCTGGATTGACCCAGGTCAGAAGATCCCGGAGACCCAAAGGGGTGGCCCCAGCACCGCCCCGCGCGCTCGGGCTTGGGCCTTTGCGAAGCCTTCCAGAGCCGCGCACCGGAGGCCACTCGTGCCGACTGGGTCACTCCTGCGCGTGAAGCCGTTTCGGTCGGCGATGCGCAAGAGCGACCTGTCGCTGGAAGGACCTTTGGTGCGGCTCGGAGGGACGCCAACAATACACCACCTGGAGCGTTGCCTGCTCCTCCTCCTCCGCCTCCTCCTCCTCCTCCTCCGCCTCCTCCTCCTCCTCCTCCGCCTCCTCCAACTCCTACTCCTCCTCCAACTCCTCCTCCTCCTCTCCTCCTCCTCCTCCTCCTCCTCCTCCTCCTCCTCCTGCTCCTCCTCCTCCTTCTCCTCCTCCTCCCCCCCTCGTCCACGCCACCAACCCTGGCCAGGTCCATCCTGGGCATGGACCGGTGTATAGACCTCCAGGCCTAGGCCACGCGGGCTGGTACACCAGTCCGGGGCCCAGGATGGGCCTGGCCAGGGCTGGTAGTGGTGTATTGCTTGGATCTGTCCTAACACTGGTCGCGGGCTCGTAGTGGGGAGGGTTATCCCAAGTTGGGACTAGGGAACGAACTCAGCTGGATGCTCACATGTTCTTTTTGCCAGGAGCCATTTGGAGCAATTTTCCTCCCAATCCCACCTCTGCTCATACCGTCCCCTACGCCACCTTTACGTCCCCCCGAACTGGGGTCCCCGGGTGGCTGAATGCGACGCCATAGCAACGGCTTGCGCGCTCTGGTTCGGCCTCTTTGCGGCCCCCGAATGTCGCGCAGCAAAGGTCACTACATCCTAGGGTCTCTCTCGCGTGTAGCCGACTCGGGAGAAGCCCAGATCTCCGACGGTATGGTTTGTTCCATCCGGGTTTGTGTTCTCGATGTCGGCCACCAGGGGCCCGCTCTCGGGCCCTGGGACCATCGGAGATGACCGTGGGGCGAAGCAGTTGGCCCCAGGGAGCAGGTCGGGACCTCCTTGCGCTTTTTTGTTTCGATTTCGACCCCTGTGGCCCGTTCTCAGGACCTGGGACCATCAATCATGAGTCCTGGGCAGAAGCGTTCGGCTCTGGGCAAGGGGTCGGGGCCACTGGGCCCTCGTATCGAAAAGATCGTGTCGGAGGATGTCGAGACATGCCTCAGGAGGGTGTCGGAGGATGTCAGATGATGTCGAAGAGATCGTATCGGGGGCTGACGGAGGATGTCGAGGATGTCGGAGGAGTACCAATGGCACGTTGCCATCACGAGTCCGTCAGCGTTTTGCTCTGTCGCGTTTGTCCGAAAAGGCCCGGTGCGTCTGCAACAGTAGCACGCTGACGGGTTCCCCAACGGCAGCGCATCATCGATGTTGTTTCTGCTCCCCCAAGGCTCCCATCATCTTGCCTCTCCAGGTCCTTGCCCTCCTCCCTCCTCGATCTGTCTCTCTCCGACTCCTCCCCCCCTCCTCCCTCCATCCTCGTTCCCTTTCGCCTGGGCTTCGTGCTTCCGCCGTGCGCTGGCCCTCGCCTCTTCTTTCTCCCCGGTCTGTGTCGTGCCGACCGTCGGCGACCCCGCCGCCGGCGTTCAACGTTGAACGCCGCTGGCGACCCAGAATCAGTCGATGTTGAACGATCGGACGTTTTGGAAACGGCCGATCGTTCAAGGTTGAACGATCCCCGCGGTATCAGGGACCAACGCCGGGGTCGACACGACACGAGCCTACCGTATGCGGGTTGATTGTATCCATCCTTCCCCATGTTTCTTCGCCCGCGGCAAGGTCCCGGGCGGCCTTGCAGCCCCTCGAGCAGGAGGAGAGCCCGGGGGGCCGACGGGAGGCCACCAGGGCTGTGTGCTTGGCCCGCCTACCGTTAAGTCGGGCCTGTCACCCCACAGGGGGATCTTCGACGAAAAATAAAAAATACCCCAAAAATAGTCAAAAACTAATCCAATTATCCCGGCAAAGCAACCTAACAGCGATGTGTAGGAGCATATCTGGAAGCATTCCCCTTAAGATTCAGATGAGAATCCTGTTGTAGAATTCTGCTGTTCTCGCAGTCGTAGTCGCATTCGCGATGGCAGTCGCAGTGGCAACGGCAGTCGCAGTCACAGCCTCAGCCTCAGCCTGCCTCAGCCTCAGCCTCAGCCTGCCTCAGCCTCAGCCTGCCTCAGCCTCAGCCTCAGCCTGCTTCAGCATCAACATCAGTCCGCCTTCAGCCTCGGCCTCAGCCTCAGCCTGCCTCAGCCTCAGCCTCAGCCTCAGCCTGCTTCAGCCTTAGCCTCAGTCTGCCTCAGCCTCGGCTTCAGCCTCAGCCTGCCTCAGCCTCAGCCTGCCTTAGCCTCAGCCTCAGCCTCAGCCTGCCTCAGCATCAGCCTGCCTCAGCCTCAGCCTCAGCCTGCCTCAGCCTCAGCCTCAGCCTGCTTCAGCCTCAGCCTCAGTCTGCCTTCAGCCTCGGCCTCAGCCTCAGCCTGCCTCAGCCTCAGCCTGCATCAGCCTCAGCCTCAGCCTCAGCCTGCCTCAGCATCAGCCTGCCTCAGCCTCAGCCTCAGCCTGCCTCAGCCTCAGCCTCAGCCTGCTTCAGCCTCAGCCTCAGTCTGCCTTCAGCCTCGGCCTCAGCCTCAGCCTGCCTCAGCCTCAGCCTGCATCAGCCTCAGCCTCAGCCTCAGCCTCAGCCTGCCTCAGCATCAGCCTGCCTCAGCCTCAGCCTCAGCCTGCCTCAGCCTCAGCCTCAGCCTGCTTCAGCCTCAGCCTCAGTCTGCCTTCAGCCTCGGCCTCAGGCCCTCAGCCTCAGCCTGCATCAGCCTCAGCCTCAGCATCAGCCTGCAGCCTCAGCCTCAGCCTCAGCCTCAGCCTCAGCCTCAGCCTGCCTCAGCCTCAGCCTCAGCCTCAGCCTGCCTCAGCCAGCCTCAGCCTCAGCCTCAGCCTCAGCCTCAGCCTCAGTCTGCCTTCAGCCTCGGCCTCAGCCTCAGCCTGCCTCAGCCTCAGCCTGCATCAGCCTCAGCCTCAGCCTCAGCCTGCCTCAGCATCAGCCTGCCTCAGCCTCAGCCTCAGCCTGCCTCAGCCTCAGCCTCAGCCTGCTTCAGCCTCAGCCTCAGTCTGCCTTCAGCCTCGGCCTCAGCCTCAGCCTGCCTCAGCCTCAGCCTGCATCAGCCTCAGCCTCAGCCTCAGCCTGCCTCAGCATCAGCCTGCCTCAGCCTCAGCCTCAGCCTGCCTCAGCCTCAGCCTCAGCCTGCTTCAGCCTCAGCCTCAGTCTGCCTTCAGCCTCGGCCTCAGCCTCAGGCTGCCTCAGCCTCAGCCTGCATCAGCCTCAGCATCAGCCTGCCTCAGCATTCAAAATGTGGCCTGGGAATGGAGTTCTGGGAACTCGAAGAACACGAAGTGGCCTACAGTTGGCTCGGGGCATTCAAAATCATGCCCAGGAATGGAGTTCTGGGAACTCGAAGACCACGAAGTGGCCTACAGTTGGCTCCGGGTATTCAAAATGTGGCCCGGGAATGGAGTTCTGGGAATTCGAAGAGCACGAAGTGGCCTACAGTTGGCTCCCGGCATTCCACATGTGGCCCGGGAATGGAGTTCTGGGAACTCGAAGACCACGAAGTGGCCTACAGTTGGCTCCGGGCATTCAGAATGTGGCCCGGGAGTGGAGTTCTGGGACCTCGAAGACCACGAAGTGTGTAACTGCTGGCTAACAAAAAATCCCCGGCACACGCCCGGATCGCGCCCAGACCCCCCTGGGGCGTCATGATGCTCTCTTTTGACCCTACTAGAAACCTATCAGTTTTCGCTGTTACGTAAAAAAGTCTGGGGACGATTTGTTTTAGCATTTTTTGACCATTTAGGAATATGTTTGGAGTATTTCTTACCCTGTAACGCCCCTCACGGGGTAGAATCCAAGCGTCGTGTTGTCTCCTCCTCCACTCGTGTTCTTGCGCCAGACGTCCACCCCTGAGGCTCTCGGAAGTTTCCACAAGGCTCGCAGGTGGTCAGAAAAATGCCCCGAACATCGAAGACTAAGTTATTCGAGGTTTCGTCTTCGACTCCGTTCCCAGAGCCCCGACGTGGTGTCTGCTCATCGGGTCGGCGCCTTTGTTGTCGTGAAATTCTCCTCGGAGGGCCTGTTTGTGACGCTCCCGAAAGAGGGGAGGAGGGAGGAGGGAGGAGGGAAGGAGGAGGGAGGAGGGATGAGGACGGATGGGGAGGAGGCGGATCTCGCGCACGGCGCTATCGGAGCCATCGAGGCTACGGATGAGGCAGGAGGAGGAGGAGGAGGAGGAGGAAGAAGAGGAGGAGGCCGAGGAGGAGGAGGAGGAAGAGGAGGAGGAGGAGGAAGAGGGGGAGGAAGGATTTGAAGCAGGACGGATGAGGAGAATGATGACGACGACGAGTAGGAGGAGGAGAGGGAATGACGCCCGTTCTGGAGCCTCTTGGTGTCGCCGTGGCTCTCCTAGAGCGTGCTGGGGGTCCTGTGGCCTGTTTGGGCTCTTCGGAGCCTCTTGGGGCCTCTTGGAGCCTCCTGGGCCTTCTGGAGCTCCCTGAGTGTAATTCAAAGTGGGTCCTCTGGGGGGCTCTTGAGATCTCGTGGGCTCTCCCGGGGCCGCCATGGGCCCTCCTGGAGCCTCCGTGGGCCCTCTAAGAACTCTCTCGCGGGGGCGGAATGATGAAAACAATTTCACGCATGGGGGCCTTTCCGTTGAGAAGGGGGGCGCGGTGCAGAGTGGGTCCTCCTGGGGCCCTCCGGAGGTCTCCTAGGCACTCCCGAGGCCGCCATGGGCCCTCCTGGAGCCTCTGGGGGCCTCTAAGAAGCCTCTCGCGGGGGCTGAAAAATGACGACAGTTTCACGGATGGGAGCCTTTCCGTTGAGAAGGGGAGCGCGGTGAAAGGTAATAAAGTGACGACGGTGTCGCATTTGAGGCCCCAAATCGTCTTTGGGCACCTCGGGCGCGAATCCCGCTCCCGCATAGTACGGCGCGATTTCCCCTCCCCCCGCTGTCCCGCCAGACCCCGGGAGGGTGATTTTTGTGGTTTTCGCTTGTAAGAAACACTTCCCCCCCCTTTCGACGGTGACGGAGGGCAGGCGGCGGGGTTGGGCGGGTTGGCGGGGTGGCGTTTTGGCTGGGGTTGCGGGGTGGCTGGTTGGGCTGGTTGAGCCGGTTGAGTTGTTTGGGTGGCTGGTTGGTTGGGTTGGCTGGTTGGGCCGGCTAGGGCAATTGGTTTCGATTTTTCGTCAAAAATCCCCCTGCAGGGGGACAAGCCCAACTTAAGCCACCGGATGTGCAGTCGAGCATTTGATTAAGAAACCTCCCTGCAAAAGAACGTGGCAGCGGTTCTTGGCCAATGTGCGGGCAAGTTGGCCCAGTTTTTGAGCACGTTCGCCCCCTTTCCAGCGTCAACAGCAGAAAGTGGCCCGAGCTTGTCTCAAGAGTCGTCTGAAGTCTGGCCCAGCTGTCTTAACTCACAACTGTCTTGATCATAAAATGTGAGCTGTAAGGTGAGGAGGAGGAGGAGGAGGAGGAGGAGGACGAGGAGGACGAGGAGGGGGAGGCATGAGGAAGAGGGGGGGGCGGGAGAACGGCAGTAGCCGCGGGAGCAGGAGCGGGAACGGGATCAGGAGGAAGAGGAGGACGACGACGGCAACGACGGGCAGGAGGTGCACAACATGGAAGAGGAGGCGGTGGAGAAAGACGAGGACGCAGAAGTGAGGGAGGATCAGGAGGATGAGGACGAGGCGACGGAGGACGGAGACGTCACGGGAGGAGGACAAAGAGGAGTGCGGGGAGGAGGGGGGCGGAGGCGGAAAGCAGGAACGGCGGACGAAGGAGGAAAGTGAGGAGGAGGAGGAGGAGGAGGAGGAGGAGGAAGAGCAGCATCAGTTGCTGTGCTCTTCTTCGCTTCAATAGTTTCCAAAAGGGGTCTCTCTCTATATCTCGTTCTCTCCCTCTCTCTATGTCTCTCTCTCTCTCTCTTTCCCCATGTCTCTCTCTCTGTCTCTCTGTCGCACTCTCTCTCTCTCTCTCTCTTTCTCGTGTTCTCTTTTGTTCTCGGTTAATTGCCCTAGCGTGTTGCTGCAGGTGTTCGTGTGTTTGTGTGGTAATAGGCTACTACGCCGAAGTCGGCGTCTCCTCTGTACTACCAGACGTAACGATCACTAGATCAGCGTATGAACAAAGGCAAAGCAACATCAGCACCAGCATCAGCAGCAGGAGGGTACGTCGACCATCAGGAACAGGAGAGGGAACAGGGTATGTAAGATAAGGAGGGGGAGGAGGAGACGGAGCACGATGGGAAGGGGGAGGGGAGCAAAAGGAGGTGGAGGAGGAGCAGGAGGTGGAGGAGAAGAGAAAGCAGAGCAAGGAGGAGAAAGGAGGGATGAGCGAAAAGGAGCGAGGGGGATGGGGGAGGGAGGGAGGGAAGAGCGCGGAAGGAGGAGGCTGGGGGGGGCGCAAGAGAGAGGGTGAGGGGAGGCCACAGGGGAGACAGAGGGTGGAGTGAGGAAGAGGGAAAGGAGGAAGAGGATGAGGATGAGGATGATGAAGGGGGGCGAGGAGGGAGTAGGAAGCGGCAGGAGGAGGAGGAGGAGGGAGCCAGAGGGTCCGTGATGCAGGCGGAAAAGAGGACCAGCGCGAGGGGCAGCAGAGGAGGAGGAGACGGAGGAGGCGAGGGGCGAGGGGCGAGGGGCGAGGGGAGGAACAGGGCGAGGGGCGAGGGGTAAGCAGGGGAGCAGTGAAGGAAGAGGGGGACGAGGAGATGGGAGGGGCGGGAGGGGGCAGCAGTAGGCGCAGAGACTGGGGAGTGCAGGTGGAGAGGTGGAGGAGAAGGAGAAAGATCGGACGACTGGGGGCAGGAGGAGGTGGTAAAGGAGGAGGAGGAGGAGGAGGAGGAGGAGGAGGATCATGAGGGCGGCATTTGGTGCAGGAGGAGGACGGAGAGGAGCAGCAGAAGGAGGACAAGGGGGGGCCAGGACGAGGAGGGGCCGCAGCAGGAGCAGGAGGTGAAGCGAAAGCTGGACCAGGACCAGGAGAAGGAGGAGCAGCAGCAGGCGCAGACGGAGGGTGCTTCCCAAGAGGAGGGCGACCCCTCCAAGTACAGCAAGCACAATCTCGCCCTGTCCCTGCAGGACACGGAGGGCGGGAAGGGGAGGAGGGAGAAGGGAGGAGGGATAGGAGGGGCAGGAGAAAGAACAGTGGAGGGAGAGGGGGCAAGCCAGCTGCGCTCGCACCTTATCTGATAGTTCACTTCCTCCCACACATCCCTTCCCACTGCGCTGATGTGTTCTCCATCCGCCGACGGTATCAAAGCGGACCTGGAGCCCCCGACATGACCCCTTATCGTGCCGTGCGCAATCGCAGGGGGGAGTTGTGCACGATAGAGGAGGAGGAGGAAGGGGAGAAACGAGGAGGAGGTGGAGAAAGAGGAGGTGGAGGTGGTGGTGGTGGTGATGGTGGCGGAGGTGGCGGTGGTGGTGGTGCTGGTGCTGGTGCTGGTGCTGGTGCTGGTGATCGAGCTGGTGCTGGTGCTGGTGCTGGTGGTGGTGGTGGTGGTGGTGGTGAAGGCGGAGGTGGCGGTTGTGGTGGCGGTAGATGAGCAGGAGGATGGGCAGGTGGAAGACAGCGAGGATGAGAAAAGAGGATGAGGAGGAGGAACGAGGAGGAGGAGGAGGAGGAAGAGGAGGAACAGCAGCAGCTGGACCGAGAGCATGGGGAGCGGGAGCAACAGGACCGGGGGAGGGCGGAGGAAGGGAAGGGAGGGGGCGGCAGCGACGAGGAAGGAGGTGGATCCAGACGTGTGGCCCGCGCCGGGGCGGAAGCGCCACTGTGAGAGACGGGAGGGCAGCGCCGATCCTGAAGTGAGGCCACGGCTGTCGTGGGAGCACAATTCGGGGGCGGACAGAGCCCCCAACAGTGACACGTCCATTAGTGAATTGTCCGTTTTCGGTTCTCGAGAGGGCGCCGCGGCCGTTGTTTTCCAGGCTTGCGCCCGCCAGGTTTGGGCCTCAGGTCGTTTTCACTAAACCACGTTTTACTAAAGGGAGGTCTGTCCATCCCCGAATAATGGTCGACACCAGAACAAAAGATCGAACCGAAGTCAAACGAAACATGACGGCTTGAACCCATGCGCGTAAAAAAGCACATGTGGGACAGGCGGCGCCCCGCTCGCGCGGAATCCGTGGAGAGAGGGGAGAGGGAAGAGTAGTTGTGGAGGGAGCGGGGGGGGATGGATGAGGGGGGAGAGGGGGGACAGGGGGGGAGGAATGATGGGAGGGCCTGGGGAGGAATAAGAAGGAAGAGTGTGAGGAGGGAAACGACGAGCGAAGGAAGGTAGGAAAGGGGAAGTAGGAGGAGAAACAGGAGGGAGGAGGAGAGAGGAATGTTCTCAGGAGTTGAAGGATGGGCGAGGAAGGAGAAATGGAGGGATGCGAGGAAATGGACAAGCATAGTAAAAGATGTGAAGATAGAGAGAGAGAAGGATTCCGTGGAAGGAGGAAGAAGGAGGAGGAGGAAGAGGTGAGAAGAGGGATCAGTGGAGGGGTTGCGGGTTAGGGCGCAAGGGAAGGGGAAATAAAGAGAGGAGAGCGGAGAGGATAGGGGGGTAGTGAGGGAGGAGGGGAACGATGAATAGGGGTAAGGAGGGAGAGAGGATAGGTAAGGAAGGAGGGCTTCGATCGAGGAGTGGGAGAAGCTTGACGTTGGGGCGATCGCGCTGACGACCGCGAAGAACGCTGTGCAACAGAGGCAGGATGTCCTCTCGCTCGTGGTGTCCCCCCCGCCCACCCCCGCTCCCTATCCCCCCTTTTCCCTCCCTATTCCCCCCCCCTTCTCTGTTCCCCCCCCCCTCTCCTTCCCCCCTGTCTCCTCCCTGCCTCTCCCCCTACCCCTCCATCACCCATAGTCCGCTCTGCCCCCCCCCCCCTGGTCCTCCCCCTGTTCCGTTCATTGTCCCTCATCTCCCCCTCCTTGCACGCTCACCCGTGACGCCGTCGGCCGATGTTCCGACCACCATCGGCGACGCGCGGCTCCAAAGGGAGGTCGTTGCAGCGAGTGGACCTCTGCAGGGTTCTATTCGGGGGAGGTCACCAAACAAAATACGAAACACCATCAACAACAACAACAAAAACATAGTCAATCATGTTGAGACTGTTCGCTCCTATCTGCTAAAACGTATATCCCAAATCCTCGGTACCCGCCCTCGCCGTCTTCGATCGTACACCCTTGGGGGCACATCTTCCTTACCAGCCCCTAAAACAAGGGAAGAGAGGACGGGTGGAATGGGGAGGGAGAATAATGGAACACGAAAGAAGTTAGCAGGAGGGGGGCAAGGAACAGAAAACAAGTTGTATAACCAGACGGGTAGATCGGGTGGGCAGACCCATAGCGGGCAGGTCGGGAAGGCGGGCCTAGGCGACGAGGTTGAGCGCGAGGAAGTCTCGAGCGATAGCGCGATTCCCAAGCAAATCGTGAGACGAACCAAAGCGAGAGCGTGATCCCTGAGCGCCGAGGGTACATCGTCTGAATAATTTGCGAGGGGGTCCCACGCGAGAACGCGATGTAGGAATACATTGTTAAGAAGTATCAGGCGGGAGCCGCTGTTGTTGTAAACCGGGGGCCAGGGGCACAGTTCGAGCCCCGTGACTGTCCCTCATAGAAAAAACGGGTGCGACGACGATGATCATGGAGGACGAGGGGGCCACGGAAGATGCGGCAACGGCGGCTGCGGAGGCAGGGGGGGGGGCCCGCGCCGCCGTCGCCCCTGCCGGGCGACTCCTGGGCCGACGGGCTGCCCCCACGGCGGACGTCGGCCTTGGTGGCGACGAGCGGCGGGCGGCCTCCTGGCGGCGCGGGCAAGTCGTTTGGTGCGATCGCCGGGGTTTTGGCTGCTCAGATCGGCGCGCCGCCCGGCGACGTGGAGGCCCTCCCTCGTGCAGAGTTTGCCCGCGCTACTGGGTTCCCCCGTACAAGAATGGCCTGCGGAACCGCGTCGCGGTCCCCCTGGGGAAAAAAAACAACTGGGGCGGACGGGGGTGGCAGTGGGGGGGTGGCAAGGGTGGGCTCGCCGCGCAGCGTGCAGGCTCGCCCCCCCCCCCCCCCTCCCCTCCGCCCGCCACGCGGCGCTCGCCTTCTGCGTTCGCCTCGCCATGCTCTCCTGGACGGTTCCCTCCCGCTCCGCGCGGTGCGGTTGGGAGGCTCCGTGGCTGGGCCCCGTCCTTTCTCTCCCTTGTTCTCGGGGCGGCAGTACAGGCACGTGGCAGGCAGGGAAGACATCCCACCGGGGAGTACGACCGAAGACGAAGAGGGCGGGTACCGAGTGTGTGAGACACACGCGTTAAATGGCACGCGAGTTAATACGAGCGAACAGTGTTAAGACGATTGTTGTTGTTGTTGCTGTTGTTGGTGGTGGTCTTGTTGGTGCTGTTGTTGGTGTTGCTGTTGCTGTTGTTGAGGGTGGTGTTGCTGTTGCTGTTGTTGTTACCGCTGTTGTTGAATGTTCATGTCTGATTGTTGATCCTCCCTTCCAGTGACCATTTATTGCACTTGTCAATGAAAGTGCGCCCCCCAGGGTTCGCACCTTGTTTTTTTGGCAGGGAAAGTGAGGTGTCACCACATTGGGCCCCTGGCCCCCGAGTTACATCAACAACGGTTCCCGCTTGGTACTTCGTCACAATTGGTTCCTACATCGCGCTCTCGCGCGGGACCTCCTCACAATGCATGCAGGAATCGAGCTCTCGCGTAGGATGTCCTCCTCATTTATTCAGACGCCTCGCCATCGACTGTCAGGATTCACGAATCGGCTTTTGGCTTTTTATAACGATTTACTTGGAAACGGGCCATCGCTTGAGATGTCCTCGTGATTCACCGAGATTCACGTTTCAGCAACCCGCCTGCTTGTCCTGGCCGCCCGGGCCCGCCTTCCCGACCCACCCGCTAGGGCCTGCCTGCCCGATCTGCCCGTCTGGTTCTGCCACGTGTTTTCTGTGCCCACCCCCCTTTCCTGCTAATTCTTTTCGTGCTCCATCCTTTCCCTCCCCCTTCCATCCCCCGTTTTTCCATTTTTTGAGGGGCACACGAAATGCACGCGGCAGGTAAGGAACCAGGAGGCACGATCGAAAACGAAGAGGGCGAGTACCGAGGGTTTGGGATACACGTTTTGATTGGCACGCGAGCAGATAGGAACGAACAGTCTGAAACTATTTGTTTTTGCTGTAAACCGGGAGCCAGCAACATAATCTGAGGCTGAAGACCTCCCTTGGTAAAAAAATCGGGTGCGGGCCCCGGGAGGGGCACTTCAATTGAAAAGCACAACGGGCGCCGCGCAGAGGGAATCAACAATAATAAGTGTGGAGGCCTCCGGCCTGTGCCGCCGATCCAGCACGCTCCAGAACGCTGCTTCACCTCGAGGAGGCAGGAAGGGGGATAAGGAGGGAGGAGGCGGAGGAGGAGGACGGGGAAAAGAAGGAGGAGGAGGAGGTGAGGAGGGTGTTGGCAGCGGCCTTACGCAAAATGTGTTGGATGGAGTGTTTGCCTCGCGTCCGCCTGTCGAGCTTGTTGGCGGTCTCATTCCCAAATTCGTTGACTCGTTGGTGGGTGGTTGGGCGGATCGTGGCGTGAATATTTCAGATATTGGTCCGTCCCGTCGTTTCTATCTTCTCCCATCGAAGACGCCTACGGCGAATCACCGCATCCTCCTGCCTTCTAGGATACGCCTACGAAGCCGCATGTTTGGGCAACGTTTGGCCTCGCTATTGCACCGTGCGTTTCCCCAGACGTTGTGGAAGCCTTTCGGGAAACACGTGGGGGAGGAAGAGGAGGATAAGGAGGGTGAGGAAAACGGAGGAAGAGACCTTTTTGGAGTTTCTTCACTACCCACCAAACCACTCCAACCCAACACGACGGCCAAATTGCCTTCCATTCCCAGTGGGGACCATCCCCGAACATCGAACAAAAATGCGATTGGAACCCGTACGCCCCTAAACCCGAAATTTGGGACTTCGAGTTGGATTGGGGTGATTTGGTAAGTAGTCACTTTTGGGGTCATTCGTGGGGCCTCCTGGGAGCTTCTTGGGGGCCTCTCGGAGGCCTCGTGGGGGCCTCTTGGAGGCTGTGTTACAGCGTCCTGGCCCGTCTGACGCCGTCGGAAGCCGTCTTGGGAGCCTCTCTGGGCCGTCTTGGGGCGTTTCAGGGTCGTCTTGGGTGCCATCTTGGGCGTCGTTGAGGCCTCTTGGACCAGAAGCCCGTTGGGGGCCGTCTTGGGAGCCTCTTTGGCCGTCATGGGGCCATCTTGGAGGCCTCTTGGGCAATCTTGGGGGCCTCTTGGGCGTCTTGGACAGTCGGAAGGCCATTTTTAAGCAAATGCCAAATCCGCAAGCAAACAAAAACAATGGGTTTGGCCTCTTCGGGCCTTTCTGGAGGACCTCTTGAAGGCCTCTTGGGCCCCCGTCTTGGAAGCCTCTTGGGCCGCCTTGGAGTCATCTTGGGTCGACTTGGTGCCAACTTAGCCGTCTTAGAGACGTCTTGGCACCATCTTGGGGCATCCTGGCCGTCTCGGAGGCCATCTTGAGGGCACCTGGAGAGTGTTGGCGAGATGTGTGGCCTTCGGCCCCTCCCGCCCCCGTGCCTGGGCTGTGGGTTCGAGGCTTTGGGGAGGTTCATTGGGATGTCGATGGGCCTCGTGGAGGCAGCTGTGAAGCCGTTTGTGGGCCTCTTTGGAGCCACTTGGGATCTTTTGGGAGCCCCTTACCGCCTCTTTGGGGCCTCTTTGGGCTTCCTCGGGGCCTCTTGGGACGGAAGGCGCGAATCGTCGGTTCATGTTGCCCCTCTTGGGGCCGCCTTGGGGCCCTCGCGTGGGCCGTCTTGGGCGCCTCTTGGGCCGCTTGTGGGCCGTGTTGGAGCAGCCCTCTGGGGGGTTTGGGGTTGTTTCGGGGCGGTCTTGGGAACCTCTTGGGCCGTACTGGCGCGTCGCAAGTGCTAAAAGGCGATAACTTCAAACATTTAAAAACCAAGACACGTAGTTTCCCCTCTGGGGGCCTTCTTGGATGTCCTCTTGGAGCGCTTTTGGGGCCTCGTGGTCCGCCCTGGGGCCATCCTGGGAGTGCAGGGGCTCTCTTGGCGGCGTTGGCGGCGTTGCCGCCCCCCCCCACGCCTGTCCCCTTCCCCGGCCAAACCGCCCCCGCACCCTTCCCCCTGCGGCGCGGGAGCGGCCCTTGAACTGGAAGACGCCCCCCTCCCCCCCACCTTTCCCCAGCAGGGCCACCCTTACGCCCCCCCTCCACACCAGAGCTGACGCTCAGGCTGCAATTTCTTGCGAACTCGCCCGATCGGCGGATTTTCAAGAAATGAGAATTCAACGATCGGTTGAAGATTGCTCGTTCTTCATTGCACGCGTGTCGCTCAACAGGTATACCCCAAAGCTTAGACTCCCGCCCTCGCCATCTATGAACGTAACCACTTCTGGGCTGGCCATGCCAGCTCATAGGTGTACAAGAAAACATCGGGTAAGGCTAGCGGGCCGGGCGGCCCGACACTACTGCGCGGGTCGGGCAGATCGGATCGGGCAGGCGGGGCATGAAAGCGGGCAGTTGAATGGCGTTCACGCAGTCGACCGGCGGACCCTAACGGGCGAGTCGGGCGGAGCCGGTTGGCGGTTCCTCACAGGCGGGTCGGGCGCGCGAGTCATTAAAGCGGACATGCAGGCTACAAGCAATCCACACAGTGGATCCCAATAGGCGGGTCTAGCGGGCGGACCTTGACGAGCGGGCCAGCAGGCGGACCTTCACGGGCGGATCGGTCGGGCAAGAAACTAAATCGCGATTTTTGTTTGCGAATCGTGAGGGAGTCTCAGGCGAGAGCGCGATTCCTGAACATCTTGTGAGAAAGCTTTGGGGAGAGGAAGATTCCAAAGCGACGAGAGCGCGAATCTTTCTTTCATGGAGCGCGAAAACAAGTTTCCAGGCGAGAGCACGGTTCTTGAGTAAATTGCAAAGTTATCTCGAGCGAGAGCGCGATTCCAGAATGAATGATGAGGACGTCTCAGGCGGAAGCCGTTTTTGTTGTTGTTTTATTAAGCCAAGGGGAGGCCACAGCATTATTTGAGCATTCAGATTTTCCGTAATAAAATCGTGGGTTCGAGGGCCGGGAGGAGGCGCCTCACTTGGAAAAGCACCATGGACACCGCTACGGGACAATCAGCAAGACGGATGACCCTCTGAAGAGTAAAAACTCCACCACAACATTCGGGTTATCCTGTCTTTTTCCTCTCTCTCTCTCGCCCTTCTCCCCTTCACCCTCACCCTCCCTCCCCGTCCCCAGGGGGGGGGAGGGCCTCACCCCACCAGCCGCCCTGGCAGGGGTGCAGGAGCCAGGGGGCGCTCTCCCTCCTTCGGATGGAGAGCGCTGTGGGATCCGTGCTGCGCCGTTCCCTTCCTTCCCCCCCCTCTCTCCCGCACGGCGTGCTCCTGCCAGAGCGTTCCCAAACGCACCGCCCCCACCCTCAGGAGGAGGAGGAGGAGGAGGGGAGGAGAAAAGGAAGAGGAGGTCACGATACTGATACAGTGGGGGGCGCTCAACAAGAAGCTGTATGTTCTTCGTCGGGGTGCCCTGGGTTTCTTCGCTCCGCGCGCTGCGCGGTGACTTCCCGCGGCCGTTGAAGAAGCCGCTGCGTTGCGGGCTTTCAGGGTTGGGTTTCTTGCGAGGGTTTCTTGCGGCCGCGCCCGCATTGTACGTTCCGAGATTTCCATGGTTTTGTCAGGTTTCCAGGATCCCGTGATGTTCCACACGAGTTGCAGACATGAGGTCCGCCATGAATTCTGGAAATCTTGGAAAGTACCTGAGCCAATCTTGCCATGATACCCATCCCGTCCTACATCCTCCCTTCAGGAGCGGAAGAAGGACGTTCACATACATGAAGCCACGCTGGTTTCGAAGGTACGCATTGCACGAACGTTCGTGTCACGAGGCTGGACCCGCTGACTGGGGGCCGTATCCAAGCACGTCGTTTGGCGCGTACGTCCTCTTGTGGGCTCCTGGGAGGTCAAATTCTGATGTTGCGCTGGTCCGAAGTCCGGCTTAATCCCGCTTAATCCGGTTTAATCCCGCTTAATCCGAGGCCCAGCGCAATAGCTCCCAAATGGGGCTTAATCCTCCTTAATCTTTCCGACGAAAACCCCCCAGTACTTGCCTCCTAGCTATCCCTCCCCTCCTCTCCCTCTGTGCTGCCCAGCGGAGCGCCGAGCCGGGGCGCCAGGCCGGCCCTGGTGGCCGTCTGGGCGGTGGGCCTCCTTTTGGCCGCCCTGGCCGGGGGGCTGCCGGTGGACGACGACGCGAGGGAGGCCTACAGCGTGATGTTCCAGCGGGCGCCAAGGGGAGGAGGAGGAGAAGGAGGAGGAGGAGGAGGAGGAGGAAGAGGAGGAAGAGGTAAACAACGACGACGACGACGAGGACCGTGACGACGACCATGGAAGGACGCCGACGAGGAGGAGGACGAGGGCGACCACGACGCGTGCGGTGAGGATGACCGTGACAACGAGAACGAGCAGGAGGAGGAGGAGGAGGAGATTGAGAGGGGGAGGAGTGGAGACAGTGGATGCGCAGGCAGATGCGGAGGCGAGGAGAGGGACGACGACAACGACGACGACGAGATGGAAAAGGCGGAGGTGACGGAGGTGTCAGCAGCGCAGGGGGATGGGGAGGAGGAGGAGGAGGAGGAGGAGGAGGAGGAGGGGGCGAAGACGGTGTCGGAGAAAAGAGTCGGAAGAGGACGGCGCGGAGACGGTGTCGGAGGACATAGTCTGAAGAGGAGAAGGAGCAGGAGGAGGAGGAGGAGGAGGAGGAGGAGGAGGAGGAGGGGGGCCATTATTCACCACCCCATGCCCCTGCAAAAGTACTGCAGCTTTCTTCGTCGTTGTGGCAACGGTCGATGATATAGGCTTTCGAGTTCTTTTCCAACGCGTTTGGGTGATTGCGGTGATGTCTTGGTGGGGCGTGGGGTAAGGCGCCCCTTGTCGGGGTGGACGAGACGGGGGAATAGTTAGAATCATCTGCGTACAGACGTTCTTCAGACTTGCAGCAGCGAGTGCCACTGAACAGGCGATTGGCCCGCGGTCGAGGCTCGGGCGCCCTCCCGGCAGCACGCCGCCGTACCCAAGGTCTTTTTTCCTTTCTCCTACGGTCGAGAGCGTTTGCTAAGCGCGTCGCTCCGCCGGCTCTGGCCCACCACGCTTCGGCGCGACACGCCATCCACGCCCCAGTCCCCGAGCGTCAATGTCCCGAGCCTCCCGCACCACGGGGCGGAGCGACACGCTATCCGCTTGCAAGGCATAGCGGGTCGCCGAGGCCGCCGCGGCGACACGCTACACAAAAGTGTATGACCTTATCCTTTGGGGGGCATCACAAAGCGGACAGGCAAAGGTCAATGCATCGACCAGAGACGCCTGGTAACGCTAAACATAAAAGCCGTTGCACCATCTATACATATATATGTGTATATGTGTATATTTGTATACACACCTGTATAAAACTTATGTAGATGTACACACATAGATAGACATAAGTCTGCGTATACACGTATACAAGCTGTGCCTCTACACATGCATATATACACTACCCAGCTTGGACCCAGAACGGTGTGCTTATAGCCATACATGGGGTGCAACCTATGTAAATCAATGTATGTGTCGGAATGGAGTTGGCGCAATTGACGTTGTCAAACACATGTTGCATCACATCTGTTGTGCAATATCTGTGGTGCAATCTCTTTGGTGCGCAATGTGTGCGGTGCCACCGACGTGGTGCAATCTAAATGGTGCAATTAATTTCTGTTCGCAGCGAGTTGTCCACTCCACTGCTCGCGCAAACAACATCTCCAACATCTCACCCACCCACCTGCAACTTGGTTTGCAAGCCCCATGCGGCGGCGATTGCGATGAGTGCTTGGCGCTGGCTGGTGCATTTCTGCGGCCGCGACAGCCCGCGCATGCACGCGCGCGGAGCAGCCAGCTATTTCGGCGCGACCAAAGCGGCCGCTGTGGCGCTGACCTTTGGGCACTTCCCAGCGGGCATTTCAATCCGAGTCGTTCACATGGGCGGGCGCGGTATCATGGCAACGTCGACAACAGTGCACACGATGATGATAGTAGCGGTGTTGGCGACGATGTTGACAACGACGACGGCAAGGCCAGTGATGGCTCCGATGCTGATCACGCCGACGACGATGACATCGACCTCGCGTCGGTGATATTGGTTTTGGAAAGACTTCGGCATGCGCGCGCGGCCGACGCGCGAGAGTGGCCCGATATGGTTGTCTTAAGAACTCGCATGAGCGCGCGCAAGCGTGTTTGAAAGCTGACATTGCGAAACCAGTTGTTTTCGCATGGTGTCGGGACAACGGTTTTCAAAACCTTACGATAGTTGATGTGTCTGACTGATTTCGACATGCGCGTGCGACGGCGCGCGCGTGCGCACTTCGTCCCATGCTGTTGCAAATGATTCTTGCGACGGCATTCGCGCAAGGACCCTCGAGCAATTTCGATGCGCGAGGGAAACACTTCTGGTAGCATGGTATGAAAATGTTGAAAACCCATGGCTGGCGCGCGCAAGCTTTTTGAAACCCAGCGTTGCGAAACCATATGTTTTCACATGTGTTTTGAGCACTCGATTTTGAAACCCGTACGACACCGAAGATTGTTCAAAGATTCGGGCTTGCGCGCGCGACGACGTGCGCGTGTGCACTTCGTTTCATTGTTTGCAATGGATTTGAAAACGTACGATTTGTGATAAGCGAGTGAGTGCGCATGGTTTTTTGGTGTTGCACAGGATAGCGTGGGAGTTCGCTATTGGTTCGCCAGGGGCAGTATGAATTGATATGTCGGATGGACGATGGGGCCGAATCGTACGTACATTGCAATACGAAAAGGGGGGCGGATAATCCGGGGAGGGGGTCGAATCGATTTTCCTTTAAGACAGGAAACAATATGCGGCGTACTCTACTGGTGCAAAGTCTACAGATGCATTATGCAATCTACGTGGTGCAACCTATGCGGCGCAATCTATGTGGTGGAATTGATGTTTACCCATGATTTGACGCATCCCACGCTCTTGCAAACATCCCACCCACCCACCCGCAACTTGGTTTGCAAAACCTCTTCAGACCGACTACGACGACACCGACGACAACGACTACGACGACACCGACGACGTTTCCGACGACTTCGACGACGACAACGACGCCGACGAAGACGAAGACGACGACGACGACGCCAACGATGACGACGACGAGGGAGGGGGAACGACGACGACGGCGACAACGACGACAACGACGACAACGACGAGGGAGGAAGGAGGACGGCGACGACGCGAACGACGAAGAACGAGGAAGGACGCCGACGCCGACGACGACAACGACGAGGGAGGAGGGAAGACGACGACGACAACGACGACGACGACGACGACGGCGACGAAATAGGAGGGACGACGACGAGACGCCGACGACGGACGACGACGACGAGGGAGGAGGAGGAAGGACGACCACGGCGACAACGACGACGCAAACGACCACGACGCCAAAGAGGACGACGACGACGAATACGGAGAAAGACAGAGGACGACGTAGGCGACGACGACGACGACGACGACGACGACGACGAGACGCCGACGACGGACGACGACGACGAGGGAGGAGGAGGAAGGACGACCACGGCGACAACGACGACGCAAACGACCACGACGCCAAAGAGGACGACGACGACGAATACGGGGAAAGACAGAGGACGACGTAGGCGACGACGACGACGACGACGCGGGAGGAGGGAGGACGGCGACGACGACGACGACGACGACGCAAGAGCGCGCGTGCACGCTTTTGTTGAAAATCCGTGTTGCGAAACCTTTTGTTTTTTGTAGGTTTTTTGGTCGCGCGATTTTGAAATCCTTCGAAACCGATTGGTTTTGAAGGATTCCGGCGTACGCGCGCGACGACGCGCGCGTCTGCTCTTCGTCCCATTTTTTGCAGAGGATTCTCGCGACGGCACACGCGCAAGGAAGGTCGACAGATTTCGACATGCGCGCGCGACGCCGTTTGGTAGCATGTTGCGGAAATCTTGCAAAACCAACGGTTTTCTTAAGATTTCGCAAGAGCTCGCGCGGAAGCTTGTTTAGCAAATCAGTGTTGCGAAACCCTGTGTTTTTGTATGTTTGTGGAAATTCGATTGCGAAATCCTTCCGGCACCGAAGCTTTGTGAAGGATTGCGGCATGCGCGCGCGACGACGCGCGCGTGTGCACTTCGTTATGTTTTTGCAAGGTATAGATATATACATATATATGTATGTATGTATGTATGTACGTATGTGTGTGTGTGCATGTATGTACATCTATATACATGCATATATGTATATTGTATTCTTTCGTGTTCCAGCATCACGGGGCTTCACATAATATTTGTTGACCAGGCCTCTCCGCGCGATGTTAGCTGTACCATTCGACTGCTGGGGCGTGCCACCCTCCCTATCCGGTATAGAACAGCAGCGGGGCAGGGAGGCCGGCCAATGGAGGCCAGACGCCGAATGGACTGGGCCCGCCAAGCCATGCGCCCTTACAGTCGGGGCGTTGACTTAACCAACCCTAAATATGTCGGGGGTGGACAGAACCCCCAACAGTGACACGTCGATTAGTGAACTGTCCGTTTTCGGTTCTCGAGATGGCGCCGTGGCCGTTATTTTTCAGGCTTGCGCCCGCCAGGTTTGGGCCTCAGTTCGTTTTCACTAAACCACGTTCTACTAAAGGGGGGTCTGTCCATCCCCGAATAAGGAACGAGGCCCCTTTTTTCCATAAGTGAAACTTCGATTCCCCATCGAAAACCTGAGGACAACCTAAGGCAAACTGCGAAACAATTAAGGAACACGGAGCCCCTCCCCAACGAAAAGGGTTCCTTGTTCAGCGCCCCGACTGTAAAGGTAAGAGCTACTACGGGGAAGCCATGCAGGGGAAGGGGGCACCTAACGCTCTGTGTTGTTCATCCCCTTTCGCCCACGTCGGGACGGGGGAGGCCTGCACGCACTGTCGGACGTTCCGATGCGAGACCCTCTGAGGATAGCGATCGCAGGCGACCACATATAGTAGGTGAGTTCCTCCCATGAGAGTGAGGACGCGCGCCGCTAAGCCAAACACTGGCAATGCCAATCATGGATCGATGAACTAACATCACCGGGGTAGGCAATTCAGGAATGTTGTGTTTCTGGTGTCCGATGGCAAATTGGCTAGGCCAACCCGACGGACTGCAGGTTCTTTTGGCGCGCTGCAGCGGACCTTACCCCAGAGCCCCCTGGCATAGAGCATCGAAGGTGGTGATGATGATGATGATGATGATGATGATGATGATGATGATGATGATGATGATGCAGTCATGTCGTAGTTCTAAATATGATGGTGATGCTGGAATACCTGGGCTCTGGCCGATAATGTACTGGTAAAAGCCGACACGTCGGACCGTCGCTCAATTGGGCATGTTCGGCAGGGGCCGTGAACCCACAGTCTTGCATAGAGCCACGTGCACGAAGATGATGTTTTGCCTGAACTCTTGCCAGCACTGTCGAATCGACCAGGCTGGCCCGACTGACCGTATGTTAGTTGGGCACGCTTGGCAGGGGCCGTTCGCACGCAGTCCTGGTATACTGTCCCATGCATGGGGGTGATGATGCGCCTACAGGATGTGCCTGGCTTCTTGCCGACAGTGTCGATTCGGCCAAGCAGGCCCGACGGAGCGTAGTTTAGTTGGGCAAGTTAGACACGGGCCCTTCACTCGCAGTCTTGAAATACAGTTCCACGGATGGGGCGATGCCTCGCGTACCAGATATGTTTTTTTACCATTGTCGACAAGATCGAATCGGCCACGCTGACCCGACGGACTGCAGGTTAGTTGGGCATGTTTGGCAGAGAACCTTGACCCGCAGTAGTGGCATAGACTCCCAATGCATGGGAATGAGGATGCGTTGCAAAGACATGCTTGGACTCTTAACGACAATATCAAGTCAATCAAGCAGACCCGGCGGACCATTGGTTAGTTGGGCATGGTTGACAGGGGGCATTCGCCCACAGTCTTCTGGCACAGGGTACCAAAGCGATGACGATTTAGATCTGCGCAGACCGCAGGCTACAAAAGTCGATGAAGCCGACTCAAACGGTGGCGGCACACCTCATAGTGGGCGCATGGAGGGTCATATTCCTGGGCCGAACGAGGACACGAAGAGTCCCCAGGCGCCCTGAACTACCCCGCCCAACCTCCCGCGCCCTCAGGTTTTGTGATCAAGCCTGTGTCGCCCCTATCAGAGCCTTCGTGATCAAGGTTTCGTCCCCCCGATCAGAGCCTCTGTCGCCCCGATCAGTGCCTTTTGAGCACCGATTCGCGCCTCAAAGTTTTGTGATCAAGCCTTCGTGTCCCGGCTTCCATGCACGAGCAAGTTGTGATCAGCTTTTCTTGCCCCCACCTCCGCCCCCTGGCCCTCGTGGTAGGGGTGCTCGTTGGACCCCCGCCGGGATCCTTTACAGGCTGCCCCGTGCGTCTCCGACCACATCGAGAGCCGGGGGAGGCTCGGAGGTCGTTGGCACGGGGAAGGAGAGGGGGGGAGGAGGATTTGGACACCCGACATGGGTACGGACAAAATGGGTGCGATGCCCAGCAACCATTGTGGACCAAAACCGACAGCAGCCGTTGTTGGGCAGGCAGTGGGCAGGCGGCCTCTCAAATGGACACGGGCCGCGGCGACATCGACAGCGAGTCCTGTTCAGAATGAGCAGGAATTGCTGTTGGGCATCGTGCCCATTTTTCCAGTAACCGTTTCGATCGTCCCGAGAGGAGGAGGAGGAGGAGAAGGAGGAGGAAGGGCAGGAGGTGCAGGCAGGGCAGGATGAGGAGGCACCAGAGCTGGGCGGGCTGCGCTCTCTTGGCTGCCCCGCCCCCCCATCCGAGGCAGAGGTCATAGACACCAGGGAGTTTGGGCAACAGGCGCGCGTGGGGGGATCCAGATCGCTCCGCATCCCTTCTCCCCACCTCGCCCCATCCCTCCCTCACTCCCCCCCCGCTCCCTCCTACTTCAATGGAGGAAGAAGCACCCCGACCACCGTAAGCGACGTTTGCAAAATAACCCTGGGCTTTTACACTCGGGCCGCCGAAGAAGGAACCCTTTCCGTTGGAGGGAGGCTCCGTGTTCCCTCAAATTGCTGTGCAGATTGTCTCAGGTTGTCCGAAGGCCCTCTATAGAAGATCGAAGTTTAAGTTGTGGGGAAAATGCATCGTCCCTGACTTCCTTTTCCTTATGACAGTGGCCCGACCGTACTAACCAGCCCTGCCTTGTTCGATTCCATCCTTGGGTGAGTGTATTTGAAGTGTTTCGCTGTTCGGGGCGCTTGTCGTGAGGGTGACTCTTCCGCCCTCTGCTACTTCAGCTTTCCTATTCCTCTTGCTTTGCGTCGGGCACGTCCCTCTACAGGAGGAATATCCAATATTTCTTTCATGTAAAAATCGTGGGACGTGTTTTTTTTTAATTTGTGTTGACCAGTTTTGAGTATGTTCTGACTTTTGTATATTTCCTCAAAAATCCACCTGTAGAGGGACATGCCCGACCTAACTCGTGCTTCAAGTCTCCTGCTAAAGTGAGCCAGGATTCCGCTGCCCGATATTCACATGAGCATGCACTTGCATGAGGAGGGCCGAAGTGAAATCGGTCCAGAAGATGCTGGAGGCGTCCATGGAGGCGCGGCACACGAATGGCAGGAACACCGGGGAAGTGCCGCCCAAGCCAAGATGGTTGCGAATCCTTTGAAGTTTCGCCCATCACGGTTGGCCAAAGACGAACGCCCAGACGGTTTGGTAGAAGCCGTTGGTCGACAAAGCACCGTTTGGTCGAAGATGGCGTAGAAGGACATGCAATAGAAGATTTCTGCCAAGGAAAGGAACAAGATGGACGTCGGCCAGGGGAAACGTTGGCGCAGTTCTCTTGCGGGCGCCAACGCGAGAAACGGCCTTGCCAGGGCCTGTGGCTCCATAGCGAGAGCACCAGTGAGGGAAGAGATCACACTCAACGTCGCGGGCCCCGGTGCGATTGGATTGACGCAAAAAGTGCAGGGCCCTCTAGCAGGCGGACGGGAAGAACGTGGCAGTGCCAGGGTCGCAGGCTCCACGGTGATGGCCTTGAAGTCCAGAACGCCCCTCAGGCATCCGAGAAAGGCTGCACAAGGGCAATGCAGTGGAAGCCCATGCCAAGAAAGACCTTGCTCGCCTCCATGGTGCCCTGGGTTTCTCGGGCTTCGATGGTTTTGCTATGGAAAGCGTGGCGCTCCCGCACCAAAAGTCAAAGGACCTCCTGAGGTCTCAGGGTTGGGTTTCTTGTGGAAGGTTTCTTGTGGTCGGGCCCCTACTGTAAATGAGAACCACTTGGAAGACTCTGGTCCATGCAGGCGAGCATCGTGAACGTCTACGCGCTCCCAATGGGAAATCACAACGAAGGCAGTGCGATGTACGTGAAAAGCCTTGGTAGAAGACGAGGGGCAGCCCTGACCATGTATGATGGCCCGTGTCGTGTAGTCGAATTATGTGACAACCTATGCCGAATTGGCACGATGTTTCCTGGCGAGGGCACGGAGAACATGTCCATGACAATTCTCAGAGCTTTGAAGACGTGTCACCGAAGTTCGACCACATGGATTCGATGCATGCGACGCAGTTGCCGTAGCGGTCTCTTTTTCTTGCTCCTCATCCGGTATTATTATTCCTCCCGTTGCTTCCCTTCGTCACCCTCCCCGCTTTCTCCATCCTTCCTCGTATCTCTCTCTCCCCCTCCATCCCTTTGCCGCCCACCCTTCCCTTACTCTTCCCTCCTCACCTCTTCCACTCCCCCCCTCTTCTCTCCTTGCCCCACCCTTCCCTCACTCTTCCCTCCTCCCCCCCTCCACTCCCACACCCTCCCCCGCCCTTCCCTCACTCTTCCCTCCTCCCCCCTTCCATTCCCCCCTCTCTTCTCTCCCTGCCCCACCCTTCCCTCATTCTGCACTCCCTGGGAAGAGCTTTGGTTGCAGGCGCTCGGCGAGCTAGAGACGGCCGAGCAGGAGTACTACGCCCTGCAAGGCTGGTTCGGCGCCTGCGACGCGAACTGCACCAGGGCACTCGACAGGGTTCAGCTCGCCCGCGAGCACGCGGAGCAGGTGCGGGGCTCTGGGAGGAGGAGTCGGAGAACGAGGAGGGGGAGCAGAGGCAGAAAGGAAGGAAGAAAGGATGAGGAGGAGGAGGAGGAAGAGGAGGAGGAGGAGGAAGAGGAGGAGGAGGAAGGATGAGGAGGAAGGATGAGGAGGAGGAGGCGGAGGAGGAGGAGGAGGAGGAGGAGGAGGAGCGACGCACGACCGTCTTTTTCGCGAGATGGTCCAGGATGCTCCCGAAGGGCCCTCGCCGGGAAGGAGAGAACGAGAACGAGGACGTGGAGGAGGAGCAGGCGGAGAAGGAGGGAAAGGAGCAGGAGTCTCTGGATGGTACGACTTGCCGGCGCCGCGAGCTGGCTATTGCGGCGCACTTCGAAGGCAGGATGGTTCGCCCTCTTCGCCGCGGAGGGGTCTCGAGAGGAGAGGCCGCCAGTGCAGGCGGGCCCTCGTCGCCGTCGTTCTCCTGGCAGATGCCCCTCGGGGGCAACGACAGCGGGTGATCTCGGAATCGCTCGGCCGTGTGCAGCTTTTCTCGGCGAGGGCTCTTGGGGAGCATCCTGGATCATCTCGCGAAAAAGACGGTCGAGCGTCGCTCCTCCTTCCTCCTCCTTCCTCCTCCTTCTCCTCCTCCTCCTCCTTCTCCTCCTCCTCCTCCTCCGATCAGGAAGCCTCCTTCCGACGCGCAGGCCGCAGCGGCGGGACTTTCACAGGAGGCGCGGCGCTGCTCGGCGCCGCAAGTCTGCCACGCTGGGCGGCCCAGGCACGCCGCGCTGGGCGGCAGGGATCCTTGGACGAGCCTCGCCGGGCCCGCCGCCAGCGACGCGGGAAGGGGGAAGGGGGAAGGGGGAAGAGAAGGAGGAGGAGGACGAGGAGGAGGAGGAGGAGGAGGAGGAGAAGGAGGAGGAGGAGGGGGAGGGGGAGGGGGAGGAGGAGGAGGAGGAGGAGGAGGAGAAGGAGGAGGATGAGAAGGAGGAGGAGGAGAAGAGGAGGAAGAGGAGGAGAGGAGGAGGAGGAGGAGGCAGAGGAGGAGGAGGAGGAGGAGGAGGAGGAGGAGGTGGAGGTGGAGGAGGAGGAGGAGGAGGGAGGCGCGGTGGCCGGCTCTGTCCCAAAGTCGCTGGCAGCAGCAACAGGCGCCGGCACGAGCGCCGAGAGCTGCGCGGTTGCCGCGGGCAGCCCAGCGGCTGCGAGCGCCAGCGGCTGCGGGCGCTGGCGGCGCCGTCGCACAGGCTGGCGCGGCCGCGGCGCCCGGCTGGTGCCTAATGGCGTCGCGGCGATGGCAAGCGCGGCTGGCCCAGGCGATGCTGGTGGCGCGGCGGCCGGCGCTGGCCCCGAGGCGGCTGCCGCGGCGGAGGCCGGCGTTGGCGCGCCCGCTGGGGGCCAAGGGGGCGCGCGCGCGGGCCTTGTGGCTCGTCGTCGGGCGCGGGCCGTGTAAAGAAAAAAGACCTATTCGAGCTCGTGGGAGTGGTCGAGGATGAAAGCTACGACCCAAGCACTGCGGAGAAAGTGCACGAGAGCTAGTTGTCGCACTAGCCTCATCACAGCCATCGGCAACTTTCCAAGGGCGCGAGACGGGAGGACGGGGAGCAGCTGGAGGCGGGAGGCCGAGGGCGGGAGGAGGTGGGGAGCGGGGGGCGGAAGCAGGAGGAAGGGAGAGGGGAGGCGGGAGGCAGCCAGGAGGCAGGAGGGCTTCCTGGCATTGCCCGGAGGTGTGCGTTTATTCTCGGCAAGGACCAGCGTGGGGCAGATTGGATTATCTTGCGAATAACTACGCGTACGGAGACGAAAAATGCAGGGAGGATGGACGCCCGAGCGATGGCGAAGGAGGGGAGGGGAGAACGAGCCAGGAGGCAGGAGGGCTTTGAGGGGCGGGGGGTGGGAGGGGGGGGCCCTGGGCCAACGTTGCGCGCAGCAGGTGCGGCGGCGCCGCGACCAGGTGCTGTCCGACGCCCGCAGGGATCGGGGGGCGATCGGCCTCCCCTCCTCTTCCTCCTCCTCCTCCTCCTCTTTCTCCTCCTCCTCCTCTTCCTCCTCCTCCTCCTCCTCCTGAGACAGCAAAAGAAGTCAAGTCACAAACCCCCTCTCTTTGAGCTCCGCCGAAAACGTTACGAACCAGTAGCCGTCCGCGACGAGCCCCGCCCGCGCCTCCGGGCCACCTCGCGGCTACTCAGCCAGCGAGCTCCGCGGCCAGCCGGGCAGCGCCCGCCTCCCGGCTCTCGGCGCCCACGGTTGTGCGGAGTTGCCGGGCGGTGGCCCGGTGGAGCGCCACGCTGAGCTCGGCGCCCCACCGCCGAGCTCAGCGCGCTGGCGGCCGCCGCCGCAGCGGGGCCGTCGCAGAGGCCCTGCGCCCGGTTCCGCGCCAGCCAGCGCAGCTGCCGGAGTGCCGCCTGGCCGCGGCGGCCGCCAATCTCCAGCGCCAGCGGCAGTGGTGGCCGAGGTGCGCGGCCCGCCGGGCAGCGGAGCGGCGCTTGTCCGCCTCGGCGTCGGCTCTGACGGCGCCGTCGCCGTCCGCCGCGGCCGCCAGGGCGCGCGCCTCCCCGGGGGCGCTGTGGCGGACAGTCACGTCCGCATACCGCCTGGGGCAGCTCCCGCGCTGCGCCTCCAGGTCGAGGAGCGCCATTTGCGACTAGACGTAAGAGTGACCTTTCGCCAGAGTGACCTTTGGTGCGGGCACAGATGGGTCCCCAGATGGCTGGAAACGAAGCAGGAGCAGCGGTTTGCGCGCCCAGGTTTGGTCCCCCGCGGCCCCCAAAACACCGCGCACCAAAGGTCACTCTTACCCAGGGTCACTCCTGCGTGTAGCCGACATTTTCCTGCTCCACATGGAGCGCTGCTCCGCGGGCAGCGCAAGGCCCAGGCGGGGGCGCGTCCGCCGTGCCGCGGCCCGCGCAGGCAGGGGCGGGGCAGCGCCAGTGCCATCGGCCCCAGGCACTTGTCGGGCCGCGCGGAAGCCGCGTTCCTGGAAGATGCGATCCCACACGTCCACCGTGGGCAGGGGCCTCGCTGGCGGGAGGCCCTCGCTTGCCTCGCCGAGTTCGCGTGCGAGGACCCCTCGCACTTCGGGAAAAATCAGGCTCGTGTTCATCCATCGATCGTATCTTCTGCTCGTTGTCGGGATGGCAGATGTGTCAAGTTCACTCGCAGGTCAGTGCGATCGGCACCCCTGAGGTCCTCTCCGAGCGAAGGATCTCAGATCATGCCACGGTTCTCCTCACTATGTCCGCTCGTGCTGCTCGCCCGCCGAGCACCCGGCCCATCCAGAAACACATATTCGAAGCTCCTGAACTTCGGCGGCGTCTTGAGGGTTTGTTCAGTGCTGTGTAATGGGGAACAATGTCACCCCCTGTCAAGCTGGAGAAATACAAAGAACTATTGAGGATTGCTGCAGCCGGGGCCAGGGATACCCTCTTCCGTCACCGCCCTCATCATCCTGCGACGCTCGTCCAGCTTGCGCGGTCACTTGCTCGGGTGGTGTGGCGCCAGGACCGTTCGCTTGCTGCCCGCCTATTGGACTCCCATCCGCTCGCGGCTGACTTCATCTTTGGCGTCGGGGCGCGTCGAGCTTCGCCACCCCCCCTCGTTCCAAGCTTGGGTCGACCAGGTCCAGAGCGAGGCTGCTGAGAGTGCTCGGAAAAGTCTTGAAGCGTCGCAACGTCGCGAGGGGAATCGCTTTCAGACATGTTGTCAACTTCGGGCGCTCGAACGAAGGGTTCGTCTTTGGTCTCCGCTGAATCGCCGCATCTCGCTGTCTGGTGTCGCATTGGACGACGGAAGGATCGTCTCCGACCCTGAGGTTCTCATTCGGGAGCTCTCTGCCTACTGGGCGCCCGTGTTTCGCAAGAAGTCGTGGGGCACTGCTGCCGCTGACGGGCACCTCCGCCGCTTCCTGCCTACTGCTCATCATATTCCGCTGCCGCCGCCGTCGAAGGGAATGACCAGGAGGGTTATTCGCATGGCTCGCCACTCTGCCCCTGGGCCCGACGCCCTTCCTTACGCGGCGCGGGCGGCCTCTCCCTGCAGTGTGGATATTCTCTGGGAGGCTCTCGAGTGGATCCTCAAGGGCCAGGAGCTCTTCGCTTGTTCGTGGGACACGGTCCAGATCTTCCCCCCTAAGAATGTCACGGACGCCGAGCTCGCTGACCGTGCGTGCATTCGTTCTCCTGACAAAGTTCGGGTCTTGGGGCTTCGGAATTGCGACCTCAAGATCATCTCCGCGGCGGTCAACCACGCCACCCGCCCTGCTTTGCAGGCGCTGGCACCCCTGTGCCAGCGCGGATTTGTTCCTGGTCGGAACTTCGGGGTCAACATTCTCGAGCTAGACGTCTCGAGCAGGATGTTGTCTGTCACGCCACGCGCCTCCCGCGACATCCCTGTCCTGTTCTCCCTCGGTATCATGCAAGGCTGCCCCCTCTCAGGCACTTTGCACGCCCTGGGCGCGGCCGCGTTCCTCGTGGACCTGGCCGAGAAGGTGGAGGGCCCTCAGGTAGGCCTCATCAGAGCTTGTGCTGATGATATCGGCGGCGCTCTGAGATCCGCCCAGGCCCTCTCTGAGGTCTCACAGGTCATGTCATGCGCGTCGGCTATGGCTAACTTGGACCTGAAAGCTGCGAAGTGCAAGGTGGCCCCCCTTTTCTGGGCCCTTCTCCGCGACGCTGGCCAGGGGCGTTCGGGACATTCAATCGAGGGAGGCCCCTGAGTGGATCGGGTTCGAGATCACCCCGCAGCTACTGCATCTGGGCCTCTGGCTTGGCCCTGCAATTTCCCCTGATACTTCATGGAACGGACCTCTGTCGAAGCTCCGTTTGAGGGCTCAAGCTATTGAACACAGCACTACCCCTGCCAGTCATTCCGCCATTCTCTACAACACGAGGGCGGTCACCACACTCTCTTACGTCGCGCAGCTCTGCTGGCCGCCGAAGTCCGCCCTCCATCCAGAACTTTCGGTGCTTGCGCAGGTGTTCAGGCCCCCGTTAGGCGCGCTGCACCTGGACGCGTGCACCCGTGCTGCCACGCTCACCTTCCAATGTTGGCCTCAGCGGCTTGCGAGGCTTCGTGCGCACGCTGATGAACACCCTGATTGGGCCACCCTCGACATGCTCGCCGCGGGCCTTCCCTGCCCCAACTTCTGGAAGGCGCCCGCGTTCGTCGAGAATCTGGAGGCCGCTGCTGCCGGCCGCCCTCTTCCTGGTCCGTTCGCCGCCTTCGGTCCCACCCCGCTCGCGGCGGCCCCGGCTGCGCCGGGCCACAGTGGCCGCGCCCGCCCCCGCCCGCGGCGAGCCGCACATGCCGCCTTGCGTGAAGCGTCGCTGCGCGGCACGCCCTCTCCGATCCTCGTTCGCCCTGCGCCTCGCCAAGATCGCCGGCCAGCACGCCAGATCCTTGTGCTACGTGGATTGGGGCGCGTGCCAAGCCGTCCTTCGGAGGTGTCCGCGTTCTTGGGCGTGGGCGGCGATCCGTTCGTGGTCCGACGGTTGGATGACATCCGCTCGCATCATCTCGCCGCATGGGAAGCGCCCCCTGCGCTTTTGGCTGCCTGGGCAAGCGCGACGCGCTCAAGCACTACGCCCGCTGCCCTGTCCTCTGGTCGGCTCTGCGGCGTGCGCTTGCCCGCCCCTTCGCCCTCGACTTCCCGTCCAGATGAGGTCTGCGCCGGCCATCCTGCCAATCCTACTCCGTGCTTGCGGCCGCCTGCAATATGTACAATGAGGCCCGCCTGAGCGACGCGTGGCCGCTCTCTCTTGCGTCCATTCGGAGCCGTGCAGTTGCTGGTGCGAGAGCGATGATGCTGGCCGCGCCTCAAGCTATGTCGGCTACAGAGAGAAGGCAGCTCGCCCGTAGGGACTTCTCATCAGCTCGCCGCAGTCGAGTTCCACCGATTCCAGCAGCTCTCCGCCCTCTTCTCCGAGGCCCACTCCCGCGGTGTCATCCTCATGTTCGCCCCCGCCCCCATCCCCGAGCGGGACCTCCTCATCATCTTCGGCGGCTTCTGACAGTGGCGCAGCGAGCGCGGCGCGGGCTTCCTCCTCGCCAGCGCCCTGCTGCACGTCCTCGGCCGCATCCTGCCCGCCGTTCCAGTTGCCCAGGGCCGAGGGCCCTCGGATTGAGAGGCCGGGGGGTTGTGGAGTCCTTGTGGGTTTAAGACGATTATTTTTGATATTCCACGTTGCTCCTCATCATTATTCTGATATTTCCTCTCTCGCTTTCTCTCTCTCTCTCTCTCTCTCTCTCTCTCTCTCTCTCTCTCTTTCTCTATCTCTCTCTCTCTCTCTATCTCAATCTCTCCCACTCCCATTCCCATTCCATTCACATTCCCAATGCCATTACCATTCCCATCCCCATTCCCATTCCCATTCCCGTTCACATTCCCATTACGTTTACCTCTATATTTACCTTTAGCTTTACCATTAACATTACCATTACCATGGCCATTACAATTGTCATTGCCATTGCCATTGCCAGTGCCGTTGCCATTGCCATTGTATTGCCATTGCCAATCGCCACCCCGTTATCAGTACCATTACCGTTACCATTACCATTACCAGTACCATTTCCATTACCATTAGCCACTACCATTACCATTGCCACTACCATTAGCATTACCAACACCATTGCCATCGCCATTACCATTACCATTACCATTACCGCTGCCAGCACCATTACAATTCCCATTCCCATCACCATTGCCATTACCGTTACCAGTACCAAGTCCATTACCATTACCATTGCCATGTTCATTACCACTACCACTACCATTTCCATCCCCGTTCCCGTTCCAATGACCACTACGCTCCCCATTCCCATCCCCATTACCATGACCATTACCACTGCCATGGCCATTGCTATTGCAATTACCATTGCCGTTGCCATTACCATTGCCGTTGCCATTACCATTACCATTACCATTGCCATCGCCGTTGCCATTGCCATTGCCAATCGCTGCCCCGTTTCCATTGCCATAACCATTACCATTACCGTCACCATTACCGTTACCATTCCCAGTACCATTACCATTGTGATTGCCATTACCATTGCCATTGCCATTGCTACTCTCCACTACCATTACCATTGCCATTCGCCACTACCACTACCATTGCCATTGCCATTGCCATTGCCATTGCCCTTCGCCACTACCATTAACATTGCCAGTACCATTACCCTTCCGATTCACATTCCCATTCCCGAGACCATTACCATTACCATTGCCTTTACCATTACCATTACAACAGCCATTGCCATTACCATAACCTTTACCTCTACCTTTACCTTTACCCTTACCCTTACGATTCCCAATTCCGTTACCACTACCACTGCCATTTCCATTCCCGTTCCCATTCCCATTCCCATCCCCTTTCCCAGTCACATTACCATTACCATCGCCATGGCCATGGCCATTGCCATTCCCGTTGCCAGTGCCATTGCCATTGCCATTACCAGTGCCGTTGCCATTGTCATTGCCATTGCCATTGCCAGTCGCTACCCCGTTACCACTATCATTACTGTTACCATCACCAGTACCGTTACCATTACCTCTGTCATTACCATTACCGTTCACATCGCCATTGCCACTGCCATTAGCCACTACCAATACCATTGCCAGTACCATCTCCCTTGCCATTCGCATTCCCATGACCATTACCATTGTCATTTTCATCTCCATTACCTTTACCTCTACCTTTACCTTTACCCTTACCCTTATCATTCCCATTTCCGTTACCACTACCACTACCATTTCCATCCCCGTTCTCGTCCCCATTCCCATTCACATTCCAATTCCCGTTCCCATTCCCACTACCATTGCCATTACCATTACACTTACCATTGCCGTTGCCACTGCCATGGCCATTATCATTGCCACTGCCATTGCCGATCCCATTGTCATTGCCAATACCATTGCCATTGTCATTGTCATTGCCAATCGCTACCCCGTTACCATTACCGTTACCATTGCCATTACCAGCGCCATTACCGTTACCTCTGTCATTCACATTACCATGACCATTGCGTGAAGCGTCGCTACGCGGCACGCCCTCTCCGATCCTTGTTCGCCCTGCGCCTCGCCAAGATCGCCGGCCAGCACGCCAGATCCTTGTGCTACGTGGATTGGGACGCGTGCCAAGCCGTCCTTCGGAGGTGTCCGCGTTCTTGGGCGTGGGCGGCGATCCGTTCGTGGTCCGACGGTTGGATGACATCCGCTCGCATCATCTCGCCGCATGGGAAGCGCCCCCTGCGCTTTTGGCTGCCTGGGCAAGCGCGACGCGCTCAAGCACTACGCCCGCTGCCCTGTCCTCTGGTCGGCTCTGCGGCGTGCGCTTGCCCGCCCCTTCGCCCTCGACTTCCCGTCCAGATGGGGTCTGCGCCGGCCATCCTGCCAATCCTACTCCGTGCTTGCGGCAGCCTGCAATATGTACAATGAGGCCCGCCTGAGCGACGCATGGCCGCTCTCTCCTGCGTCCATTCGGAGCTGTGCAGTTGCTGGTGTGAGAGCGATGATGCTGGCCACGCCTCAAGCTATGTCGGCTACAGAGAGAAGGCAGCTCGCCCGTAGGGACTTCTCATCAGCTCGCCGCAGTCGAGTTCTACCGATTCCAGCAGCTCTCCGCCCTCTTCTCCGAGGCTCACTCCTGCGGTGTCATCCTCATGTTCGCCCCCGCCCCCATCCCCGAGCGGGACCTCCTCATCATCTTCGGCGGCTTCTGACAGTGGCGCAGCGAGCACGGCGCGGGCTTCCTCCTCGCCAGCGCCCTGCTGCACGCCCTCGGCCGCATCTTGCCCGCCGCTCCATTTGCCCAGGGCCGAGGGCCCTCGGATAGAGAGGCCGGGGGGTTGTGGAGTCCTTGTGGGTTTAAGACGATTATTTTTGATATTCCACGTTGCTCCTCATCATTATTATGATATTTCCTCTCTCGCTTTCTCTCTCTCTCTCTCTCTCTCTCTCTCTCTCTCTCTCTCTATATATATACATTTATCAATCTCTCCCACTCCCATTCCCATTCCATTCCCATTCACATGCCCCATGCCATTAACATTCCCATCCCCATTCCCATTCCCATTCCCGTTCACATTCCCATTACGTTTACCTCTATATTTACTTTTAGCTTTACCATTACCATTACCATTACCATGGCCATTACAATTGCCATTGTCATTGCCATTGCCAGTGCCGTTGCCATTGCCATTGTATTGCCATTGCCAATCGCCACCCCGTTATCAGTACCATTACCGTTACCATTACCATTACCAGTACCATTCCCATTACCATTAGCCACTACCATTACCATTGCCACTACCATTAGCATTACCAACACCATTGCCATCACCATTACCATTACCATTACCATTACCGCTGCCAGCACCATTACAATTCCCATTCCCATCACCATTGCCATTACCGTTGCCAGTACCAAGTCCATTACCATTACCATTGCCATTTTCATTACCACTACCACTACCATTTCCATCCCCGTTCCCGTTCCAATGACCACTACGTTCCCCATTCCCATCCCCATTACCATGACCATGACCATTACCACTGCCATGGCCATTGCTATTGCCATTACCATTGCCGTTGCCATTATCATTGTCATTGCCGTTGCCATCACCATTACCATTGCCATCGCCGTTGCCATTGCCATTGCCAATCGCTGCCCCGTTTCCATTGCCATAACCATTACCATTACCGTCACCATTACCGTTACCATTCCCGGTACCATTACACTTGTGATTGCCATTACCATTACCATTGCCATTGCCATTGCTACACTCCACTACCATTACCATTGCCATTCGCCACTACCATTACCATTGCCATTGCTTTTGCCATTCGCCACTACCATTAATATTGCCAGTACCATTACCCTTCCGGTTCCCATTCCCATTCCCGAGACCATTACCATTACCATTGCCTTTACCATTACCATTACAACAGCAATCACCATTACCTTTACCTCTACCTTTACCTTTACCCTTACCCTTACGATTCCCAATTCCGTTACCACTACCACTGCCATCTCCATTCCCGTTCCCATTCCCATTCCCATCCCCTTTCCCAGTCACATTACCATTACCATTGCCATGGCCATTGCCTTTTCCCATTGCCAGTGCCATTGCCATTGCCATTACCAGTGCCGTTGCCGTTGCCACTGCCATTGCCATTGCCAGTCGCTACCCCGTTACCACTATCATTACTGTTACCATCACCAGTACCCTTACCATTACCTCTGTCATTACCATTACCGTTCACATCGCCATTGCCACTGCCATTAGCCACTACCATTACCATTGCCAGTACCATCTCCCTTGCCATTCGCATTCCCATGACCATTACCATTGTCATTTTCATCACCATTACCTTTACCTCTACCTTTACCTTTACCCTTACCCTTATCATTCCCATTCCCGTTACCACTACCACTACCATTTCCATTCCCGTTCTCGTCCCCATTCCCATTCACATTCCCATTCCCGTTCCCATTCCCACTACCATTGCCATTACCATTACACTTACCATTGCCGTTGCCACTGCCATGGCCATTATCATTGCCACTGCCATTGCCGATCCCATTGCCAATACCATTGCCATTGTCATTGTCATTGTCATTGCCAATCGCTACCCCGTTACCATTACCGTTACCATTACCATTACCAGCGCCATTACCGTTACTTCTGTCATTAACATTACCATGGCCATTGCCATTGCCATTCGCCACTACCATTACCATGGCCAGTACCATTTCCATTCCCATTACCATTATCATTACCATTACCGTTACCAATACCATTACCATTACCATTACCATTACCATTACCATTACCATTACCATTACCGCTGCCATTACCAGTAGAATTCCCATTCTCATTCCCAATACCATTACCATTTCCATTACCATTACCAATGCCATTACCATTACCACTACCACAATCATTTCCCATTCCCACTCCCATTTCCATTACCATTCCCATTACCATTGTATATACCATTGCCAATGCCATTGCCATTACCATTGCCATTGTCATTGCCTCGCTACCCTGTTACCGCTATCATTACCGTAGCCATTACCAGTACCATCACCGTTACAACTGTCATTACCATTACCATTGCCATTACCAGTGCCATTACCATTACCACTACCACAATCATTTCCATTCCCGTTCCCATTCCCACTCCCATTCCCATTACCATTCCCATTACCATTGTATATACCATTACCAATGCCATTACCATTACCATTGCCATTGCAATTGCCTCGCTACCCTGTTACCGCTATCATTACCGTAACCATTACCAGTACCATCACCGTTACAACTGTCATTACCAGTACCATTGCCATTGCCATTGCCATTGCCATTCGAGGATTCCAGTAGGAATCCTTCAGTGGAGGGTTTCAGTAGGAATCCACATGTGGAGGGTTCCAGTCGGAATCATTCAGCGGGGGCTTTCGATGGGAACCCTTCTGTCGAGGATTTCAGTGTGAATCCTTCTTATGGGGGCGTTGAATCGGAATCCTTCTAGGGGGGGGCAGACGTGGCCACGTCGCATTTTTTTCCCTCCCTGGCGAACCCCCCCCCCCCCCCCCCCCCCCCCCCCCGAAACAGATATAAAACAATTTGGGGATGGGGGGGGGCAGGTTTTTTTTTTATATTTTATTTTATTTTTGTTTGTGTTTCTGGGGGGGGGGGCGCCAGGAGGGGGGGGGGGGGGGGGGGAAGAAGAGAGAGAAAAGAGAAGAGAGAGAGAGAAGAGAGAAAAGAGAAAGAAAAGAGAGAAAGATGAGAGAGAGAGAGAGAGGGAGAGAGAGAGAGAGAGAGAGAGAGAAGTAGGAGGATGGGGGGGAGGAGGAGGAGGAGGAGGAGGAGGAGGAGGAGGAGGAGGAGGAGGAGGCGGAGGAGGAGGAGGAGGAGGAGGAGGACGACGACACAGAGCAGAGTTTGCACAGAAACAGTCGCGAACTCAGCGCGAAAGCCTCGCGCGCGCGCTTTGGAACCACAGGGGCTCCACAATCCCCCGTTCTCCGGATTGAGCGGCTGGCCCCACCGTGCCCCCCTGCGGTCGTTGCCCCGTCGCGGGCTCTCCTGCCCCGCCCGTCTTCCAGAGCGCCATTCACCCCATCCCGCCGTGGCCGCGGCCCTCCAAGCATGCCCGCCCCAGCGTGTCCGCCGAGTTCGGCTGCCCCATGCCTGCCTACAGCCTCGACCACACCCCTGTCGTGCTCACCGCCTACGTCACTGTCGGCCTCTTCCTCAACGGCACCCGCACGGGCAACAAGAAGGGCGGCCTCCAGCGGGTCGATGACGTTGCCGCCGACCATTTCGAGTTGTGGTTGCGTGACGCCGTCCTCGCCATTCACGTTGTCGGCTCCAATCGCGTGCTGTGCTCGAGTGACGCCGTCTTCGCCAGTGACGCTGTCGGCTCCAATTGCGTGCTGTGCTCGAGTGACGCCGTCTTCGCCGGTGTCCGCATGCGCTCCGCAGATGGCGGCTTCTGGGTTGTCGATTGCGTTGACGTCTCCTCCTTCGTGCGGTGCTTGGATGTCGCCGCCCTCACCAGTGGCTTCGACGGCTCCGATTTCGTGCGGTGTTTCGGTGGCGCTGTCCTCGCCTACGACGTTGACGACAGGCTCCTCTGCGCCCTCGTCGCCACCTCTTGGCGTTTGATCGCAAGTCCCGTTGTCGTGTTCGGGCTCACCGTCGCCTGTTGTCGGATGCCTCGCCCTCCCCCTGGAGGGGTCTGGTGTTAGAGCGCAAGTCCCGTTGTCGCGTTCGGGCATCGCGTCGCCACGCATGGGATCCCTCGTAGGTGGCATCCGAGACGACGGCGTTAGAGCGCAAGTCCCGTTGTCGTGTTCGGGCTCGCCGTCGCCACTTGCGCTTTCCCGCGATTCTGGACTGGTCTCCGACGGCGTTAGATCGCAAGTCCCGTTGTCGTGTTCGGGCTCACCGTCGCCACTTGCCGTTCGAAATCCTGCCTCGGCTGGGCTCTCCCGCGGGTAGACATCGATTGCGCCGCCCCCTCCAATGACGTTCTCAGCGACGGTTGACCCGCCGACATCAGCGGCGCGACCTGATGCCAGCATGCTGTGTCCCACCGTCTCCCCCCCGCCCCTCGATCAGCGGGCCCTCCTGTCGCCTCCCCATCTCAGGCCTGCCCCACCACCCCGCACTTTGTGCATCCCAGCCGTTGGGCACGCTCGCCGCAATATCTTTTCGACTGTCCCCCTTTCTCCTTCTGCCCCGCCTGGATCTCCCCCGCCTGTGCACCCCTCCTCCTGCAGCCCCGAGCCCTGCACCCAGGCTCCAGCATCGCCCGTCGCCCCTCCCGGCGCCGTTTTCCTCGGCCCTCCCCCCTCCTGTCCTTCGCTCCTGAGCTCTGCCCATGCTGCTGATTGCGCCTCCCCTGCTCCTCTCTCGCACCGTCTTCACATCGTGCCTTCCGTTCCGAAACACTGCTCTGCCCTCCCGAATTGTAAAGCGGCTCCGCCGACCAACGTCGCGTCGCTGGGAGTGCAGTCCATCTGCTCCAACACTCGAGGCGCGCCCTCGCCGCCTCCAGAGGCGCCCTAGCGGCCGCCTCTCTGCCAGACAGACCTGGCACGCCGGGCTCCTCCTCCTCCTCCTCCCCCCCTCCTCCCCCCCCCCCCCCGTTTCCTCCCCCGTTTCCTTCCCGTTTCTTCCGCGAGGGTCTTCCGAACCATGGCGTCTGCCAGGTGGGTTTCAGCCGTCGCCCGGCTCTGCTCGGCCCCCCGTCGCGCCCGCGCCAGGTTCGGGCCTGCGGCGCGCGCCTCTTCCGGGAGCTCCCCCTCCTCCTCCTCCTCCTCCTCCTCCTCCTCCTCCTCCTCCTCCTCCTCCTCCTCCTCCTCCTCCGCGTCCTCCTGCTCCTCCTGCTCCTCCTCCTCCTTCTCCTCCTCCTCCTCCTCCTCCTCCTCCTCCTCCTCCTCCTCCTCCTCCTGGGGGGGCACCGTTGGCGCAGCGGCGCGTCTCGGGCCGCGGGTTCGTTTCCCGGCCGGCGCCTGCCTCCACGCGCCGCGGCGCGCCGGGGGCTGCGAAGAGGAGCCGTTTTCTTCTGGGGTGGACAGACCTCCTACCCAGACACGTCGATTAAGGAATTGTTGTCGCTTCGCGAATCCCCACCAGCCCATCCAGAAACGATGCCCAGAGGAATTGCCTCGATCAGAGAAGTGGGCAGCACACAGAGGAAGCCATTATGAGACATCTTGGGATATCTTGAGCCATCTTGGAGGTCATTTTGGGCTCTCCCAGACGCTCTTGGAGTCATCTTAATCCGTGCCCCCCCCCAAGAGGCCTCCATGTGGCTAAAACCTGTGTAGAATCAATGATTAGGCATTCTCGCCGAGGCCTCTTGGAGCATCTTGGGTGCATCTGGGGGGGCTCTTGGGGCCTCTTGGGGGTCTCTTGGGGGCCTCCGGGGGGCCTCTTGGGGGCCTCTTGGGGCCATTTTGGGGCCATCTTGGGACCTCTTGGGGCTTCCTGGGCGCTTCTTGGGGCCATCTTGGAGGAGATCGATCAAACAAGAGGGGGGGTTTAATTAGCGCCCCCCCTCGGAAGCCCCTAAAATCGCCTCTTGGACCCCTCTTGGAACGCTCTTGGAGTGCTCTTGGGCGCTCTTGGGGCCGTCTTGGGGCTCTTTTGGGGCTCTCTTGGGGCCCTCTTGGGCCATCTTGGAGCCATCTCCAGGCCTCGGATGGCCATCGGAAGCGAAAAGGCGAGAAAGCAAAAATCATTGATTTTCCTTAGGTTTTGGGACGATTTTGGCCTCTTCGGGGCCTCCTTGGGGAGCTGTTTGGCCACTTGGAGTTATCTTGGGGCCGTCTTTGGGCTTCTTGGAACCATCTTAGGAGCCATCTCGAGCGATCTTGCGCTATCTTGAGCCATCTTGGAGCTCATCTTGGGTTCTCTGAGGCGCTCTTGGAGCCGTCTTGGGCCATCTGGGACGCTCTAACTACCCGCGGCCCCCCCCGTCCAGGTCCAGGGGAGGGGGTAGGGGGAGGGGTAAACCCCTCCCCAAGGGGGAAGAGGGAGGGGTGGAAGAGGATCTGCTCTAGACCACCTACGCCCAGAGGGCTGGTGGGATTGGCTGTTTTCGGTTCGCGAGGGGCCATCGCTGCCGTCATTTTTGCGGGTCCAGGTCCGCGGGTTTCGGTCCCAGGCCGTTTTCATCGAGGGGAGGTTTATTAAAGGGAGGTGTGTCCACCGCCGCTCTCTGGGGAAGATGCGTTCCCAAGCCCTCCCCTCCTCCGCGCTGCCCCTCGGCGCCCGGAGTGCGGTCGTGCAGAGGAACTCCGCGGTCTGCGCCGCTGGGCGCCCTCGCGCCGCCTGGCAAGCAGCGGAGCGCGGGGCTCTCCGCCGCAAGTTCGTCGAGCAAGTTGGAGCGCGTCAAGCCTTGCCTAACAGACCGCTCCGAGGTCTTCGAGCGGCTGTCTCGGCGGCGCCGCCGCCTGCCTCGTTGCCGCTCCTGCTGCCGGGGCCAGCGGCGCGCTGCCCAGCGGGGGCGGCGCCGGCGCCAGCGAACCGCCAGGGGCCACGGCTGCAGCGGCTGCGCCTGCTGTTGGCAGGGGCGGGGCAGGCAGGCCGCCAGGCGCCGCAGCCGCTGGCGCCGCGCCTGCCGAGGCCGCCGCCGCGGCCGGCTGGGGCCGCCGCGGCCCGCGGATCGTCCAGCGCGCACTGTCGGCAGAGGCGCGCGTCGCAGCCGCCGCAATATAGCGGAGCCAGCTGCCGGCCCCAGCCCCGCCGCACACGGAGCATCGGTCCCCGGCTTCTGCTCGGCACGAGCCCGCCTCCGCGCGGCAACCAGGGCGCATCGGCCCCGGGTGTGTCGCCCCCTGGCCGCGCCGACGCCTCAGCGGGGAGTGCGCTGGGCGCCCGCGCGGAGCGCGGTTTCGCCTGAGTTGTTCACCATGTATGACCTTGATGCTTAAAATTGGCAACAGTTTCGCGTATGGAGGGCGGATGGTTTTCAAAATGTGACTCGCGGTGGCACCGCGCACCATCGTTTTATATAGTATATATACCAGGGCTTCACGGATTGAGGGCGGGTGGTTTTCGAAGTGTGCTTCTCGCTTCAGCGCTGCGCACATTCGTTGACAAAATTTGCAAGAGCTTCACGGATTGAGGACGGGTGGTTTTCAAATTGTGGTTCTCGTTTTAGCGCCGCACATATTATTTGTCAAAGTTTGCAAGAGACACGGATTGAAGGAGGGTGGTTTTCAAACTGTGGTTCTCGCCTTAGCGCATTCGTTGTAAACAAATTCCAGAGTTTCATGGGTTGAGGGCAGTTCCTTGTTAAACTGTGGGTCTCGTCTTCTTGCTGGAAAATTACCCATGATCGACGTACCAGAAATGGTGTTTTGAAAAGGCTCACGATTATGAGGGCGCAACAGTTACGAAGATGCCCAATTGTACGTTGATTCTTTGTGTTCAGGCCCAATGAATGGCATTCTGGCACGATTCAGGATGCTCAAGCCGCAACAATCAGGTTGATCCGTGGCGTTCGAATACCAAGTACTATGTTTTGGCATGCTTCAGGGTCTTCAATCGGTCGTATTCCAACGAGGCAGGCCCCTCTGTGGAAAAAAAACGCTGTAGGGGCCTATGAAGATGGAGCTGGGGGGAGGGCTTATTACAACATCGTTGGTGACTCATGGGTTTACACTGGTCCTCCTCCTTCTCCTCCTCGTCCTCCTCCTCCTCTTGTTCCTCCTCCTGTTCCTTCTCTTCCTCCTCCTGCCCCCTTCTGCCCCTGCTCCCCTTCCTCCTGCTCCCCCCCTCCTCCCACTCCTCCACCCCCTCCTCCCCCTCCTTCTCGATCCCCCCCCTTCTCCCCTCCTCCCCCTTCTCCTCCCGTCCGTGATTCGCGGCGGGGGCTCGCCTGCAATCTCAGCCTGGACCTCCGCATTCCGCCCAGCCTGCTTCGGGCTGGTCCGCCGATCGCAGCAGGGGCGCGATCCCTGCCCGAGTCCAGATCTACGAATATCCCCTCCCTCCCCCTTTTTGTTGCTGCGTTGGTCAGACTCTGAGCGACGGGGCTCGTAGCGTCCTTCCCTCCCCCTCCTCCCGCTCGCTCGCTCGTGGCTGATGTGGATCTCCTGTAGCCATGCTCCTCCTCCTCCTCCTCCTCCTCCTCCTCCTCCTCCTCCTCCTCCTCCTGTCCTACTCTTCCTCCTCCTCCTCCTCCTGTTCCTCCTCTCCTCCTCCTCCTCCTCCTCCTCCTCCTCCTCATCCTTCTCCTCCTCCTCCTCCTCCTCCTCCTCCTCCTCCTCCTCCTCCTCTCTCCCTCCTCCTCCCCCTCCTCCGCCTTCCTCCTCCTCCTCCTCCTCCTCCTCCTCCTCCTCCTCCTCCTCCTCCTCCTCCTCTTGTTGGGCCCTGGCGGGTGCGCGGGCACACCCTCCTTGCTGCCCAGATTCGCGAATGACGTTGCCCCGAGGATGGACCCCAGGGCGCGTCCTCTTGAACATTAGTCTGCACGGATTTTTTTGGGTCACGCCACGTGCCCTGGTTGGGGGCGTGAGCTCTTGGCACCCTGTCCGCACAGGGATGGTGAGCCACTCCTGAGGGCGACGAATTCACGCAGCCGCGTCAGCCGCGGGACGCACCCCCACTGGGCATGGGATGCGACCATCGACGAGGCATGCAGCCCGTCGGAGGCGGTATGGGCGTCTTGGAAGGGGCAGAAGGGGGGGTCCCTACTGCCCGCATGGCCGAGCCTCCGCCAGGCCCTCCAGTTCGTCGGGGCGCGACGTGCCCAAGAGTGGCACTGAGCGATGCCTTACTGGCATTTGGATTCACCACGCGCGGCCAGGCTGAGGAGTTTGGCCGCGAGGCGCAGCGGCTGGCCGCAGAGCGGGCCAGCGGGCTCGCCACCATGCGTGCCAAAGAAGAGAGGGTTTTCCGTTTTGTCGTGGACCTCCCTCTCTTCCTCCTCCTCCTCGCCCTCCTCCTCCTCCTCCTCCTCCGCCTCCGCCTTCGCCTTCGCCTCCACCTCCGCCTCCTCCTCTTCCTCCTCCTCCTCCTCCTCCTCCTCCTCCTCCTCCTCTCTCCTCCTCCTCCTCCTCCTCCTCCTCCTCCTCCTCCTGGAGTCCCGCCTCCTCCCCCGCCTCGTCCTCCCCCTCCTTCCCCCCCTCTTCATCCTCCTCCCCCTCTCTCCTCTCCTCCTCCTCCTCCTCCTCCTCCTCCTCCTCCTCCTCCTCCTCCTCGCCGTCGTCATTGTCATCGTCGCCAACGTCATGACCATGGCTCACGCATCTTCCTGCGTGGCCGTGAGCCTGACGGCACGGGGGGGGGGGCGCAAGCCGACCGCCGCGGTTGTTCGCAGGCGTCCGGTGGCCTGCGCTTCCGATCTGCACCAGCCCACCCCGGCCCAGGCGCACACGATCACCTGGGGCAAGAAGACTGCCGTGGTGATCGCCAACCCGTTGGCTGCTGTCGCAGCCGATGTCAGTTTCTGTGTTCGCCTGGGCCGCCCTCGGTGGCAAGAGTTGAGAAGTGACGTTTACTGACACCCTTGCCCCTTGCGGAACGCACGAGAGCATCTGGCCACCACGGGCTCGGGGGGGTTGACCGGGTGCCGTGCCCGCGCGTGTTGGCCGCCAGAGCAGGCGAAAGGACGGCAGAGCGCTGTCAGGAGGCTCCCTTCGGACCATGCCCCCCCCCCCCCCCTTGCCCCTGCCCCCCCCCCTTGACGCCGATGCAGCCCCCGAGGCTCACTGGGGGAGATGCCCCTTGTCGCCAGCACTGTGCCACCATCTTGTGACCGTGGCCACCACCAACATCATCATCGTCATCATCATCATCATCATCATCATCATCATCACCATCACCATCACCATCATCATCATCATCATCATCATCATCATAAGCATCATAAGCATCATCATAAGCATCATCATCATCATCCTCATCATCAGCATCAACATCAACATCAACATCAACATCAACATCTTCTTCTTCATCATCATCATCATCTCCAGCAGCAGCAGCATCAGCATCAGCATCATCATCAGCAGCATCATCATCGACATAATCAGCATCAGCATCACCATCATCATCATCAGCATCATCATCATCATCATCATCATCATCATCATCATCATCATTATCATTATCAGCATCATCATTGGCAGGATCATGTCATCAGCATCAGCATCGACATCATCAGAGTCGTCATCATCAGCAGCATCATCATCGTCCACGTCCTCCCTCCGCCGCCGCATCCTCCTCCCCCTGATCCTCATTGTCACCTTCCCTCCCTCCATCCATACTCCTGCCCGCCCCCCTCCCACGCCCCCCCGCCCGCCCGTTAACCAAGCGTTGTCTTTCACCATTCTACTCGTTTCCCTCGTTTGCCTTCCCCCCTTTCTCCGCCTTGCTCCATCCCCCGTCCGCCTTCCGCTCCCCCTCCCACCTCCTTCCCCCCTCCCTGTCCTCCCCTTCCCCACCCCCGTCCCCTCCCATCCAGTTCTCCCCACTCCCTGGCGCATCCCTTCCATCGCCTATCGCGTCTCCCTGTCCGACTCCCCGCGCCCCCTCGCCCCCATCCAGGAGGGGGAGGGGGGCGGCTGGAAGGGGTACGCGAGGGAGGAGGGGAGGGGAGCCCCCTCCCCTCCCTCCAATCGCGCACCCCTTCCTGCTCCTCCCCCCATTGAGATCCGACGTAGCCCAAAACATGCAGCACCTTGGAGCACCACTTCTCGAATCAGACCGATCTGCGAGGGCCCCCGGGCCCGCCGAGACGGAGCAGAAACAACGCCCGTCGCGAAAGAAAGCTGAGACGCCAGGAGTTCGGTCCCCCCCCCACCAAGGTCCCCCGCCAGTGGCAAGCCAAGACGAGCTTCCAAAATGCCAAGGACACTGCAACCAGACACGAAAGAAACAGTCCGCAAATGAGTTTTGCCAAGGCTATTCACTCACCCGTAGACGAGCTACCATGACCCTGGAGTTTTCCTCCATCGCGAACTCCTCCTGGACCCCTGCGGGGGGTGAGCGTGGAAGCGTGGGCGGGCGGGGGGGGGGGGGGCAGGCGGGCAGGCGAGAAGCGACGGGAGGCAAGGAGCGGCAGGAGGAATCGAGGAATTCCCAGCGGGGCCGCTGTCGGGCTCCATCGCGGGTAGACACGGGTTCTCGGGGACCTTGTTGGGGCCCACCCAGCAGTTCTGTACGACTATGTGTCGATGATTGTTCGGCCCCAGCTCGGCTCTGGCCCGCCTCAGGCTCGACACACTTTGGGCTCCAGAGACAAGAGGAGTGCTGGGAGGAGTATCGAGGGATCCGTCGAGATCGGTCGAGGGTCGAACGTCGTTCGGGGATCGCTCGGTCGATGATCAAGGATCGATCGATGCCCACTCGGAGCCCCATGCGGTCGGTGGGGCGGCGGGGAGCGGCCCGCCGCTGGCCGACGGCGACAGGCCTTGCCCCTGGAGGCGGGGCGGTGGGGCGGGGCCGCCGCGCCGCCGGAGGAAGTGGGCATTTGGTCCTCGTTCGGCGTCCAGGACCCGCCAGCTGACCTCTGTCTCCACCTGCTCCTCCTGCTCCTCCTGCCCCTCCTCCCCCTCCTCTCCTCCCGATCCTCCACACCCATCTCTCTTCTCCTCCTCCTCCTCCTCCTCCTCCTCCTCCTCCTCCTCCTCCTCCTCCTTCTCATTCTCCTCCTCCTCCTCATTCCTCCTACCTCCTCCTCCTCCGCCTCCTCCTCCTCCTCCTCCTCCTCCTCCTCCTCCTCCTCCTCCTCCTCCTCCTCCTCCCCCTCTCCCCCTCCCACTTCTACAATTACTCAATATGAATACTACTCTCCCTCTTCCCCTGATGACGGTGGGAGTGTTCGACCCCCCCCCCGCGTATTGTTTTTTACACAGGATTCCCCGGAGTTGGGTTTTCGCTTGTGCACTTGTTGTCAAAATGCTGCTCTCGCTGAGGCGCCGGCCTCATTTTCGGGCCCCGCTCGTTCCGAATCGTGCTCCCGCTGCAGCGCTGGCCTCATCTGGCCTCATTTCCGCGCTTCCGCTCGTTCCGAATCGTGCTCCCGCTGCAGCGCTGGCGTCATTTCCCGTGCCATGCCACGGCATGCAATGCAATGCTAGGTTGCGTTCCGCTGCGCGATGCCATGCCTTCAGCTGAAGCTGTGATATGCAGTGCTTAAGTGCCACGTCGTGCTATGCCATGCTACGATTTGATCTTCAACGCCATGCTATGCAATGTTATGTTCGGGGCCGCTGTGCGATGCCATGCTTTGCGTTGCAAAGCTTTGTGATGCAATTCTTCGCTACGCCACGCCACGCCATGCTGTGACATACTACGTTTTGCCGTGCTCTTCTACGCCATGCCAGGCCGTGCTCTACAATGCATCGCGTACCCTTTCGGGATCATTGCCCTGCTCCACATCCGACTGTGCGAGTAGATTGGGGATCTACGCCATGGTAAAGGATGGGAGGGAGGGGCAGGATGTCAGATATGACGCGAACGCACCTAGCTTGTCCCCATCCCCCTCCCC